GTGAACAGGCTGTGGCTGGGGTTGGTTCTGTCTCACTGAAGCTTGGTTGATGGGTACCAATGATCTTCTGAGCAGTTTTATTCACCCTATGCGAGTTTGTGATGTTTCCAGTCATTATGATTTCTATTGGTCCTCTGTAAATAAGAACTTGGCACAGGAATTTCGCCTTCTTACAGGATAGTTTCACTATTTTTCAACCTGGACCTTATTTTCCCGTGTTTTTGAGTCTATGTAACTACTGTCTCTGTGATGTTGATTCCCAGGAACCTAAAACTGTCATCATCATATATGTACTTTCTCTATCATTGAAATGATAGAACTGAGTAATTTGGAGTTAAATGTAATGACAAGACAGCAAGATGTGTTACTAACAAAATCACATCGCATAAAGGACATTACAAGATATAAGTGATGGTGTGTATAGATTATTAACCCTCTCCTCCATGTTCCAGGCTCCATGGATATGGCCGGGTACAAGCCAAGGGTGATTTCTCTAACCAAGAGGCCGGGTCATACATTTGGTTTCTACTTGAGGGTGGAGCAGGGTGAGGAGGGTCACCTGATCCGCTGCCTGGAAATGGGAGGTCCAGCTGAACTGGCTGGCATGAAAGATGGAGACCGCATCCTGCGGGTTAGTGGAACATTTGTTGATGGACTGTCCCATTCAGAGGTAAGCAGGATGTGAAATAACTGCAGTGCATTATTTAAATCAATAATAACTTTCAGATGTATTTGGAGCCGGGAAAAGACCAAATGCAGTAAACGGTTATCTGACACATTTAATCCTTTATCTTATCCATATTTTCTCCATGCAACAATTCCTTACCCCATTTCAAATTCCATACTGCTTTTATGATAATTAGATGGACATTTAGCAGGCAACAAAGTTAGCAAACTAACACTACTTAAACATTTTTAGTTTAGTATATTTGACATTAAATCTACAACTACAAAATGTGTTGGATGACAAGAATAGTCCAAGACTTATTCCCATTGTGGTCCTGATATTAGCATTAGCTTACCATTGCTAAACTGTTAGCTCTAATGCAAGAGTGGTGAGGAAAAATGGAAATGTTGCACGGGGAGAATATAGAATAGATAAATGATTAAATGTGTGTCAAGAATATTTACTTTTTGGTTAGACCAATTGTGTTTCGCTCTGCACCAGCTGGCACCCAGGAGAGAAGCACTGCTGTGCATGGGGCATCTTCAGCTTTTTATTTTTTGACTTGTATGATACCCTTTTTCTACATTTTGTCAGGTTCTGGGCTCCAATGACTGATGGCATGTGACGGGCATCTTCCCTTAAACCCTTCTGTTATGTATGTGTTCCCTCGGGACAGGTGGTGGACATGGTGAGAAACGGTGGAGCATCAGTCACATTCCACATCCTGGATGAAGCTTCGTACAAGCAAGCCAAAGCACAGGGAGTGAACCTGTCCGGCCCTCAGAGCACACCAGTTGCCAATGGTGTGGCCATACAGGCTCCAAAACCCAAACTCTGCTACCTGGTTAAGTCCAGCACAGGCTTTGGGTTTTCTCTTCGCTCAGACAAAGGTGAGGTGAGGATGCAGAGTTAAAGGATCACAATTTAGGACAACTGATAAAAAAAAGAAAACCTCTGAAAACCACAGATTACCACAGAAAGTTACTGTTTTATATCTATGTGGGTGGAACTGGATGATAAAAAAAAGACTAGTTGAAGCTGGGAACTGTCACGTTCTAATAATCCTTTAAAAAGAGTTTATATAATGTAACTAATGGCTTTGTTAAAGGTATAAAATGTTGCATTTCTGCATTAAAATATCTAAAAACTGACTTGTAGACCTGTTACATATTTTGTTGAGTTGTGTACTTATCTCAAATGTTTCCAGCAATGTTCAGCCCCAGAGAAATCCGTCATTTTTTTCACATTAGCGGTGTGTTTTATTTGGTCGCCTGTGACGACCAACAAATTTGTTTGTCAGTGAGGAAGGAAGTCAACGAATGTGACCATACATAACATCCTGCAAACAGGAAAATATACTGAGACCCCCCCACACCCCGATAAAACTGGCGGCGGCTATATTATAACATGGATGGTAAAACATGACAATAACTTATTTGGTGGATATGTTGCATTGGGAATCAAAGACAAGTGTCTAATCCACTGCCCCATCACAACATCTCTACTGATGCGAGAGAGCGACTGCGGCACACACTGCACAGGTGTGGAATTGGCAGCTGAACGCAAATGAACATCCTTGTTGATACTTGGAAAGGAAGAAAACTCATGTCAGCCAATAGATGTCCTCAAATCCTTTCCATTTCACTCGGCCAGCTCCTCTTTTTTTTATTACAGATCTGCATGATTCATGTGGGTCAGATTTTCAGGTCGGGAAATACGAAAAAAAAAAATATTAATAGCAATGGTTAAAAAATATTTTCAAATTTTACAGATCAGTAACAAGTAATTAATAATTAACAACTTTTGGGGTTGCCAGAATGTGAATCTCTCATTTATTATTTATTTACTGCATTTAGATTTTGAACTCAACAGGAACAGTTCTGCTGACCTCCAGTGGTTTAACTTCTAACCTTGCTGCAGTGATGTACTCCAGACATGGCTAATTAGAAAGTGATAAACCCCAACAATAATCAATCAAATTTGCAGAGGTAAATGTTAATAATTGGTTAAAAGAGTACACCAATTCAGAATTGAACTTCTAATAATGTCCATAAACAGGAAGTGTAAAATCAATGGATGTTGCCTTTAATAAAGGTATTTTAGTTCAGTTGCTCTGCACCTCTTTTCCAGAAGGTCAGAGGTCAGACAGTCTGTTGGAGCAAAATGAAAGGCAAAATAAGTGCCATATTGGAGGATGAAAACCAGCCAATGGGATTTGCATAACCCAGCGACCAAAATTTGTTCTTATTAATTGCTTGTAACTAATCTATAAAGTATTAGTAATGCTTAAGAAGTTATTTTTATCAGCTGTAATATCTCTTATGTTTGAATATTTCTTCTATAACATCCTCTCTAGATAAAGAGGGTTTTTTCATGACAGAGGTGATCCCGGGAGGCATGGCGGACAGGGCGGGGGTCAAAATCAACGACCGCCTGTTGGAGGTCAACGGGGAGAACGTTGAAAGCTCCACACACGACCAAGTAGTGGACAAGATCAAGCTGGCTGGCAGCCGCATGATGTTCCTGTTGGCTGACGAGGAAACGGAGAAGTACTACAAGAACAAGCACAAGATAGGAGCATGGTTAGCCACCACCAAGTATCTCCCACGCAAGCCACGCGTTGTCGACATGACCAAAGGACCTGATGGCTATGGCTTCCTGCTTAGGGAGGATCCCATTCGAACAGGCAAGGCCATAATAAATATGTTAATATTACAGATAACTTGTATTTTAACAAACATTAAACTGCAGAGAGGAGGCTGTCTTTTGACAGTATGCTCATTAACTCCACGCAGGCCACTTCATTAAAGACATAGACTGGGGCAGTCCAGCAGAAAAAGAAGGTCTGAAGGAAATGGACAGACTAGTGGCTGTGGATGGCAACGAGGTGGACTGTTGCAGCCATGAGGAAGTGGTGGACAGGATCAGAGAGAGTGGCAACAAATGCTGCCTCCTCGTGGTGGACAAGGACACGGACAAAATGTATAAGCAAGTGAGTCATGGTGCCACTGACTTCAACTTTAATGTAAACTGCTGATAAACTATATAACATCCTTGTTGTGTCCCTCACAGGGGAAAGTTTCTCCGATGCTTTTCTGGGATGAGATGAATGATTCCAACTCACCGCCCAGTTACACAGAGGCCCTCAATTTACCTGCTCCTGTCCGACCATCCACGGCTGTTCAGAAGAGGGAGGAGGGGTTCAAGCCTAAACTGTGTAAGATGGAGACGACCTCAGCTGGCTATGGCTTTCACCTAAACGGCATCCAGGGTGAGTCTGGACATTACATCAAGGAGGTAAGGATTAAAGGAGTGCCCACCATGCAATCATTACCATTTGAAAGCAAAGTGGTAAGACAACAATTTGTTTCAGGTGGTGAAGGGTGGAGCGGCTGACAGGGCGGGTCTGGAGGATGAAGACATCGTGGTGGAGGTGAACGGAGTAAATGTGGAGCAGAGCAGCCACGAGGAGGTGGTGGCATTAATCCGCAGCAGTGGCAGCTCTCTGGAGATGCTGGTGGCTAAAAAGAGCGTCTATGACCAACTCAAAACTAAAGGAGTGACCATCACACGCCTGCTCCTCGGAGAAACATCTTATATTCAGGTCCACGCGGTTGACACTCCCAAGGCCAGCAGGGAGGAGAGACATGAGGAGGGGGCCAGAACTGAAACCCCCACTGAACCAGCAAGAGAGAGGGTGAGTGACACTTCTTAAATGTTCACAGGTAACATTTTCGCTATAGGGATGTCCTTGAAAATGTTCAACGTCTAAAATAATTGTGATTTTATTCCCCTTCTCTTCTAGACTTCATCTGCATCATCATCTGCATCTCAAAGCAGTGTTGATGAGAGACTCTAAGAAGCAGCCGAAAGGACCCATTTCCTGATTTGGCCTTTGTCAATCTAATGTTGATCCATCCTTTTTGTTAAAGAATCAGCTTTAAGGGCTTCACACATACAGTTAATATTACATGAGACAAAAAGCTGAAGGAACAAAACAGAACTAGGACAGTAAAGACTTTTGAAATTCACAGTCAATATCTCAATCACAGCAGAATAGTTGCATTTATAAAAGGGCTCAGAACAAAACATGTTTCTAAATACTTTTGTCTTCCTTCGATGCAAACAGTAGATCTACTCGTAGATGAGTCTGTGCAATAATCTGAGATTACCAATCTTACCAGAATAACTACAGCCTACAGAATTTAACATTAATATTGCAAGTAAATACTGTGGTCTTCCATGTATTTTTTTTCTCTATGCAAAACACTGCTGCCTTTATTTAATGTTCTACAAAAATGTTTTTTTGTTCCCATTTCTAAATAAAAGTAAACCCATTTCTAAATAAAAGTAAACGATTGAAAAATTCCATGAACACAAATAAATGAACACATAATATCTGAATTAAGCTTACTTTATGGGTATTTGTTTTTCTTCCAAATTAAATGACATATTTTGTTAAAATAACAGCTGCTTCAGGATGGAGATCATTAATGACATCTTGATTTTTCCTTCATATAGTCCATTTACACCTCAGTGGGAGTGCAGCAGAGATGTGCCTTGGACAGTACAGCTCCAGTGTGTTCAGACAAAAGAAAGTAAAGATCATTTTGGCCAAAATAATGACAATTGAAGAGCACAGAGAACAGAGTGTTTGAGTTTGCAGGTAAAATTAAATTCCTAAGAGTAATGATTGTTCTGTACATACTTAAATTCAGGAGAATCCACTTCAAAGTTGTTCCTCATGTGCTCTAATAGTCCCCCATCACTTGCACTCAACCATCAGCCATTCCTGATTCAGGAACAGGCAGTCCAGATAATTATGTCTTGTATATTTAAAAGGGAAAAAAAAAAAAAAATCCCTAAATTCCATATTCAAAGTCACCTCAGGGGTCAGGAGTCAGATATGCAGGGAATCAGAGGGTCATGTTTTTCTCTGGTGCCTGCTTGTGGGCGAGATAAAGGAAGAGGATGCTGGACAGGGCGCTGACCAGGAAGATGACATCAAACCAACGGTGGTAGAAGTTGAACTGCAGCTCTCCCAGAACCTCCGTCACAATGGAGCGATACTCCAGCGGCATGCTCATGCGCATCAGCAATACGGATGATACAAAATACATCCCCTAGTGGGGTGAGACACAGAGAGAGAATGTTTTGGTTTAGCTGCTGTTTGTAGGCTGTGCATTGTGTTACAAGACAACTGTAAAGTGAGACACTCACCATGATTTGAGCGAGGACAAGCACGATGACATTTGAGGACTTGTTACTTGATATTGCATAGAAGAACTAAAAGGGAAGAACAAAACAGATTAATTAAAGGTACCATAGAATGGAAAACTGTATTTACCTTGAATAAAAAGAGTTCAGTACATGGAAATGACATAACATCAATCATTGTTTCTTTCTTCATATGTAAATCTCGTTCATGCAAAATACCCCAGAAAAACGGGTGAATGCCAACAAGCACTAGATGTACATCATAACATCTGGGATCATTAATGTTTACGCCACCACAATTTACATATACCAGCCCAAGTTCCAGAGAACTGGTCATTCAAGCTCATAGAGCTAGAGCTGGAGGTTGTCTCACAGAAAGTGTTTTTACAGTTATGAAGGTAAGGTAAATATTTTCTGGTTTTCCCTCTGGCCGCTCTGCCTCAATTCTGTGATTTACGAAATTTCCTGATGGACAGATAGCGTTACTTGTTACTAATGCTACAGTAACCACTAGCTGCTGATAACAGTAGCTGTTATTATCAGCTGGTTCTGAACCAGTGGTCCAAAGCTTCTGTACTAATGTGAGGTTTAACACCAACACAACCCCAGAGCATCTAGCTTCCAGTCCGGTCAGAATCAGAATAGAACGGCTAGCTGCATGGCTTACTGAGTAACTAATAGCAGCTGCTGATAGCAGTAAGTTAGTTAGCAGCTAAAGTAACAGGTAACATACAAACTCCGTAAATCGACAAAAGTGGAGGCAGAGCAGCCGAAGGACATCAAAGGGAAAACAAGACAAATTTTTCTACAACAAAACTGATCCAGTTTCACTAAAACCAGTGAATAAAGTTGTGTTTTTGTACAGTAATGAGTAATGAGTGATGGCTAGTCTTGCATAGCGGTGCAGCTAGGTCCCGCCCCTCTTCTGTGCTCAGAGAAGTTGGCCAAGCAGAAGCAAGTGTGCTTCAGTGAGGGGGACCTTAAAGAGACAGGAACTAAAACTGAGTGTTCAGAAAGAGGGCGAAAAGAGGTGCTAAAGAAATGGACAGTATGAGAAAAATAATGTGTTTTTTAAACATTAAAGCATATCAGTATTTTCTAGTAGAAACCCTTAATACAAGTATGAAATGAGTATTGTAAAGCACCTTTAACCTCAAGCTCTGTAGCCATTTTGACATTTATCATGTGATAGTTTTACCTTAGTGAGGGTGATGAGTAAGCCACGAATGGATGTAACGATAATTATTCCCACCAAGATGAAAGAGATGTGTTGGGACCAAAACTTTACCTGAGACGGGGAGAAAGACACCAAAATAATATAAAAAGCAAAGCAATGAACAATTTAAATTAGGATAGGGACAGAGGATGACAACTTTCAATCGGCATTCATCATGTATTCATTTCAATTTAAATCTAATGCCATGATCTGTGAGTGTGAGCTTTGAAAACTCAAATAACTGTCTATATGAAGAAAGGACTGAGAGAAAAAGCAGGCAGAGAGATCATAATGAGTCTGTAATTATCTTTACATAAGGTCATGCTGTGTGACATGTGACCATTTCTGCAGGTGTGTGTGTGTGTGTGTGTGTGTGTGTGTGTGTGTGTGTGTGTGTGTGTGTGTGTGTGTGTGTGTGTGTGTGTCTTACATCGAACTGGATGCCCAAGTAGTTCACTGTAATTTCAATACCCCTCGTCACTGGGTCCGTCTTTCCAACTCGATCAAACACAATGTTTATAGTGGCCTATGACAGACAGAAGAGTACTTTTTTTTAACTTCCTAAACTATAAAAAAAACACAACAAATGTGATTACGTAACTGGCCCATAGCACTCACAGTATCTATATGAGAGTGTGAAGGAAAGACACAATGCCAGAATACAACATGTTCTCACCATGAAGATTTTCCAAACACAATAGATGGAAAAGAAGTAGCCGAGGAAGTTGAAGTATTTCCCCTGGAATGTCTTTGAGTACTCAATTCGCTCCTAAAGATAAGGAAAGGTGTTGCTAAAGATTTAGCTAATCATTTATCATACATGAGCAACAGGGGTAATCAACATGGGTGTGTATAGATAAAACTGTTTTTGCAATAGCAGCCATTGCTGTCAATGCTGTCACCTGTCCAACTAGAGATGCATAAATACAATTAAAACTATGATAACTGATTTATTTGGCCACTTTAGGGCCAGTGGAAACTAGTTGTGAACAGAACAATGACATTATCACCTTTTAAGTTGATTTGGTGAACTTCTACACATCCTTCCATCCATCTGAATATTATTTTTTGTTTACAATTTTCTATGTGTCTGTGTACGTAGTTAAGTGGAACAAAGTGTTCTTGCATGCATTTGTATGTATGCATGCACATGTGTTACCTTGGTGGCTTGCAGGTCCACAGTCTCAAGAAAGAGTTGTCGACTCAGTTCCTCTAGGGCATCAACCTCCTGCTGGATTTGAGAGAGGTCTGGAGGGAAGAAGTCAAGGCTGACATCTACTACAAGTACTGTAGACAATTAGTACATAGTTATCTGGTAACAGCTAATTATCTTATAGCAATCATTTTCCATAAGTATAAAGGATAATTTCACTGCCTGTTTGTGTGGAGGTTACACTCTTGATCATGCCCCAGAATCCTGTCTGTTTGTTCTGGTCTTCCCCACGCTGGTACATCTGCCTCCTTGTCATAGCGATCCTACACGTACAGAACAAATTGTAATGGAACAATCATTTGTTTTATTCATTTTATAAAAAATAAAATACCCCCCCTCACCGTTTCTTCTTGCTGACAATCATGTCCATAGTCTGGAGCAGCCGCCTCTCCAGAGCAAGGATGTCACTGTCTGTTACGTTTCTGTGAAAACAACAAAGCAGGAGACATCAAAGCAATGGCAACAGTTTGTAATGCAAACAAGTATTGTGATTCAGGATGGTAATGTCTGATGCATAAGCAGACTCAGATTAAAAGGCTGTGTGATACAAGCTTACCTGAGGAAATAGGACATGTACGTGTAGGGACAGTTGACCGCACCAAATCCAGACAACAGAGCCATGAGTGTGACTCCGATCACACCAACACGACTGATTAGCTGCTCAATGGACAGGATGCCTAAATAAAAGACAACAGACTGGCTACAGAAACGCCATTACTTCACTTACCTTTAAACACTTTTGCAGATCAAGGACTCTCACATTATGAGAAAAAAAGGCAACCACAGTCATTAAGGTGCCCAGATAGAGGAAGGATACACACTCACCATGTTTTGGACTCAAGATGGGGAATGGGTCTCCCAGCTTCCAGAAAAAATACATGAAGGTAAACCACACCATACAAGAGAACAGAAGCCTCTGTCTATGCACTACAAAGACACAAAGCAAACAGCAATGACATAATGGTTGAAATAAAATCATCAACAGCATCATGAATGTTTATTTTTATTTTTAATAGTCAACCAGCTATACTTACACAGGCGTATGTTGCTGACAACAAAGTAACCAATATAGAAAGGCACCACAAAGATTAGAACCAGCAGTATGACATACAAATTCAGCTTCCAGTGGAAATACCTAGAACTGTGGAAAAGACAGAAAGAGGGTTAAAATTCTACTAGAAGCAGCAATAACACACTGTTACACTCGACATAAAATGTACATACCTACTACTTAAGGCACCCAGAATCTCAAAGATGATGAGCTCAAACATGGTACATGAAAATGCAAACGTAACAGAGAAAACCACCTGGACAACGTACTGTCGCACCTGTCAAAAAACAAAAACAGTCAAGACTGGATGACTAGTTGTGATTGTTGCAGACCTACAGCTCTACCGGAAATGATCAGGTGAAATGCACTTGTGTGTTTCTCTCATTGGACTCATCATGATGGCTGTAAATAAATGCTTGTGACACTTGTGACACTGTACCTCATAATCTTTAAACAGCTGCCGCATAAAGAACAACCAGCCAAATCCAAAGAACAGCACCTGTGTTAGATTAAATGCATTTGGTATGTATCAGAAATGCTACAATACGCTTAACAATATTTTCACAATAATAAAACTTTAGTTATTCCAATAAACCTGTTTAGATTCAATACAAACATATACAGTCGCAGGAATAAGTATGTGAACCCTTTGGAATTTCCTGGATTTCTGCAAAAAATTACAATTAGTGTGTGTCTTTTATAGGGCAGCTCTAAACAACACCTCCAATCTTGTCTCATTGATTGGAATCCTGACTTCAATTAGCATTTGGAGAAGTCATTGGCCTAGGGGTTCAAATACTGCACTTTTTCCACCCTGCACTTTGAATGTTTACAGGTTGTGTTCAATAAAAACATAAAAACATATAATTGTTTGCGTGGTATAAGTTTACAAAGACTGTGTTTGTCTATTGTTGTAATGAAGATCAGATTACATTTTATTACATTATTTAATTTATGTAGAAATCCAGGTTATTCTAAAGGGTTCACATACTTTAAACTGCGACTGTATGTAATAATAATAATATAATATAATAAAACATGTGGAAAATGAACTGTGAAGGTGTTGCTGGTGGTTGAGTTTGAGTAAGAAAACAATTTAACATGGATTTGGTTGTGGTCAAATTGATACATTTTGTGTCCAGACAATAAAGTTTTTCACAGTTTAAAGAGTGCTGTTGTGCTGACTGTGTGAACAGTTTTGAAAGAGTGGTAAGTTATCGTTTTGACTGTTTTCAAGACGTATTTAGCACTTTAAAGTAAAACTTCTTTAGGACGCTAAGTTAAATAACGCTCACAGAGATACGTAGATAACATTTAATGCAACGTTGGCTTGCAACATACTGGGTATTCTTGTTCAGGGACAGAAAGACACGTTACAACTTGTTGGGTTCACCGCTTCATCATCAGCTAGCTTAACGTTACGTTACCTGTGAGGTGAACATGATGACTGAGTCCACCAGAAACGACATGATGATGTCTGTAAAACAGCCTGAAGTCCGCAAAAAACTGACCGTACAAGTCTAATAAGGTCAAGGACAGTTGCAGTTCATGCTGATGTAAAAAAAACAATCAGGCTTTAACTGTTTAAAATGCTTGTTATGTTGGTAAAAAGCCCATTTCAGGCGCATTTGTTGTTCAGCTGTCAACCGTCGCCCATGTGGGTACGTCACCAAAATGAGTCCGACACATACTTCCGTCGCAAAACTGTGACGGTTCACAAAAAACTCAAAGGTAAATCACAAGATTCATAAATTATTTCGGAATCATTTAAATACATTTATAAACAGGCCTACATATTTGATAGTAAATACTGAACTTGTTTTTTTTTAATTAACCCTGAGGATTTGTGCGGTGTCATTGTAATTACTATGTTTATATACAGAGGGCGACAAAAAATCAAGCTGCTAACGTTACTACTACTACTACTAATAATAATAATAACAACGTAGAATACACTTTTTTTAATCCTACTTATATGAGCGAGTCCTATGAACACTGTATTTCCTGCCAAAGTTTGAAAAGTTTTTATTATTATTGTTGTTGTTGTTGTTGTTGTTGCTGTTGCTGTTGTTGTCGTTAATGTTGTTGTTGTTGCTGTTGTTGTGCTTTGTGTTTTTCATCATTTCGTTTTAGTTTGAATGCTTTGGCTCATCCAAGAGGTGTTTTTGTGCATTAAATCTTTTTATATTTAGTCCCAAAATTTACCATGAATTTAAGAACCAGTAAGCACATCACAACTTGTACTTTTTAGATACACTGTTGCAAGTACTTCTTTGATTTTACTCAAATGCTACAACTGTAACATTTACAGTTTGAATGCATGCATTTTATATATTAAACATTTTGTTTATTTACTCTATAATTATTTATGTCCGTGTTTATGACAGATATCTTTTTAAAATATCTATAAAATTGAAAATGAAAGTTGCAGGGTATAGTAGGCAACCTCTGAACTACTTATACTGTGCTATTTCTTTCACTACACACTGAGTTACTAGTGAGCAGACACATGAGTCTAACTTTAGCCTGAAACCATTTATTAACAAGGAAAACATAATTAACATTTGGAAGATACGTAGCAGGGGTAGGCCGAGAAGGCTGCATTCATGGAACAATTACTCAAAGCGTAAAACAAGAATCTTACATTTACCCTGGAATCGCCACCTGTCCCACAAAATAATACACACTTACTGACACTGGAGGGCGCTGTGAGCCCAAAACTGCGTTGTGGCTGTGCCTGCACACAGAACTCCACCATATCCAGTAAACTCGTAAAGTCTGGAGCTGCCACTGGCTGGTGTTCATTGTGCTGGTGGTGCGCAGAGTAGAAAACACTCGGAAGCGTAGAAATAGTTTCTCGCTCGTTCTGGAGAGATGTTACAAAATACTGCTGGGTCGTAAGGACGAGAAAGATGTTTCAGAGGTAGTACATCTTCAACTTTTGGCTTTTATCTTTTGAGGACAAGTAGAGGTGAGTCTTATGGGTGTATAATTTGTAAGACACAGGGAATAGAAAACATATGATAGGTAGCTCTTTATCAGCTGCAGATCATCTAAGTTAATCATAAATTGTGGTACTTTTAATTGCTGTGTATCTTTGGTGTGTAATTGACTGTAATAATATGTTTGTATTTATTTATTAATGCAAGTTCATTGGTTGATGATGTATTAGACTTGAGAAAAGGTTTTGTCACTGAAAATGTTTAAAGAACTGATAACTCTGAGACCAACTGATAACTGATTTTTCATCTGAAAACCTTTGTGCATAGGATGTTATAGCACCTGAGAATATTAATTTACATTGCATACCACTGAATAGTTTAAATGTGCTGGACAGCATCTAGTGACCACAGGAGCTGACATAGCTTTGGGAGTAGGAGAAGATTAGGTTAGCACATCAAAATTCCTTCTGTGTCACTGTTAGATCACTGGTTGTAAAAAAAAAAAAAAAAAAAAAAAAAAATATATATATATATATATATATATATATATACATAGGAGAGTTTATGTTGGGCTGAATATAATAACTCAGGAAGTTTTTCCATACCTCAGTACCAATCTTCCCCCTCCGTGTTAAATAAGCAATGAAGAAGATGATGATCGAGGCCTCTTGTAGGAAAGGTCTTCAGGTGTGTTTACTCCTACTGATGGTGGGAAGACTGCAGGGTGAGTCTGCCATGCTTAAAAGATACAGAAAAACTCAAATAGTGACCTAATGTCACACTAAATTATGTTTTAAAAAATATATATTGGTGGATGTTTCAGGCAGGGTAAAAGCACCAGAGCGTCTGGAAGCTCCCGTGGGGAAGCCCTTCAATCTGACTTGCAGTGTTTCGAGGGAACAAGGTGAGTCTCTGAGGCAGGTGCGTTGGTTGGATGTCCAGAACCAGACCCTGCTGAGCTACCAGCCCGGCCTCAGAGACAGTGTGAGTGGACAGCAGCATGTGGAGCTCGCCTCCTCCCCAAAAGACACCTCGGTCATCACCATCCGCAGGGTGGGTTTCCGTGACGAAGGCTGCTACACCTGCATCTTTGACATGCATCCTTCCGGTTCAAAGCAGGGACAGACCTGCCTCACTGTTACCTGTGAGTAAGGCCATTAATGACAGCACCTTTAATTTTATGTACAAGTATGCAGTTTCTGTAAATAGAAGAATACCAATTTGTTTTTGTTCTTGTAAATAGAAGAATACTAATTTGCATTATTACATGTGAACTAAAAATTTATAGATCATGAAATTACATTTAATGTTAAACAACTGGCAAATGTCATTCAGTGTAATTCAACATTTACAAATACATACAAACATATTTAGAAGGAATAAAGGATCTGGTGCTTTGTAAATAAAAAATAAATAAAAATACAATAGGTGCTCAAAAACCAGTATGGGACAAAGACCTTGCAATCTAGTGCCTCAAGTGTCTCAATCTCTGACATATATTTCACCCTGACAGGAGAGACTTAGAAGAAACAGTTTTTAGCCTGTGACACGAGCCAGGAAGTGACTCTGCTGTTTTGACAAAGTTGTGAATGTGTTGATCATAGGTGTCATTTCCACAGGGGACACTGGGGACACTGTGGGCATGTCACTTTTTAAAAGCATAAGTATAAAGGATAAAAATAAAAACAAATAGCTTACAACAAGAAATGTTAACTAACAAATGAAATGTTTGCTATTGAAAGATGTATTTGCACAAATAGAAAACATCCAATACAATGTAAATGTAGAAGAAACAAATGTGAATTTTCCAAAAAAAAGTAACTTAAGCTAAAAAAAGAAACCTTATGATTCTAAAATGACCCAAAATGTGCATGCGGCGATCAATATCTTGAACAAATTAACACAGTTTCTTCTTGTCCAGGTATTCCATAATCTCCCTCTGAACAAGACAAACAGAGATATTGTTGACTCGGGTTTTCCCTTAATATCCAAAGATATGGTTGATTTATTATCTTTAGCTAACATTGTCAACATTATTGCTTAAGTTGTTTTTTATTTTGTCATATTTTAGGGCAGTGAGACTGGATAGGCCTGTTGTTATCGCTGGGCTGACTTACATGCACTACAGTGTATGTGGTTTCGGGATTGTTCGATTGACGTGGTGTTGCAGGTGTGGATGTGATGGATGACTTGTCCACATTGTTGTGAATTTTATGTATCAAATCTGTAGCAACCTACTGCATGCTAGGCTCTTTTGATGCACCTTTATGAAAACATTTTCCTGACCCGCCATAATTTGTTATTGTCTGCTCTGACCTCAAACCAATACTGTAACACTTCCTAAAATTGCATATGCAGAAGTCTGTTTAATAAGTTTTTTATCTGAGCCCCTTACGTCCCCACCACTTTTTAACACAAAGTGATGTCCTTGGTGTTGCTTAGTGATCATGGTGACACACTGAAGGGAGACAGATCTCACCCTAAGAGACAAACAGAGGAGCTCAGATATCCAGAATCAGTTCAGTGAAACTGTGTTTAGTTCTTCTTAAATTAGCTGAATCAAATCGAAAGTGTTAATATTGGATTGAGGTGGTGCATTAGCATCTACAGGTGCTGGTCATATAATTAGAATATCATCAAAAAGTTGATTTATTTCAGTAATTCCATTCAGAAAGTGAAACTTGTATAATGTATACATTCATTCCACACAGACTGATATATTTCAAGTGTTCATTCCTTTTAATTTTGATGATTATAACTGACAACTAATGAAAACCCCAAAATCAGTGTCTCAGAAAATTAGAATATTGTGAAAAGGTTCAATATTGAAGACACCTGGTGCCACACTCTAATCAGCTAATTAACTCAAAACACCTGCAGAGGCCTTTAAATGGTCTCTCAGTCTAGTTCTGTAGGCTACACAATCATGGGGAAGACTGCTGACTTGACAGCTGTCCAAAAGATGACCATTGACACCTTGCACAAGGAGGGCAAGACACAAAAGGTCATTGCTAAAGAGGCTGGCTGTTCACAGAGCTCTGTGTCCAAACACATTAATAGAGAGGCGAAGGAAAGGAAAAGATGTGGTAGAAAAAAGTGTACAAGCAATAGGGATAACTGCATCCTGGAGAGGATTGTGAAACAAAACCCCCCAAAATGTGGGGGAGATTCACAAAGAGTGGACTGCAGCTGAAGTCAGTGCTTCAAGAACCACCACGCAGAGACGTATGCAAGACATGGGTTTCAGCTGTCGCATTCCTTGTGTCAAGCCACTCTTGAACAAGACACAGTGTCAGAAGCGTCTCGTCTTGGCTAAAGACAAAAAGGACTGGACTGCTGCTGAGTGATCCAAAGTTATGTTCTCTGATGAAAGTAAATTTTGCATTTCCTTTGGAAATCAAGGTCCCAGAGTCTGGAGGAAGAGAGGAGAGGCACAGAATCCACATTACTTGAAGTCCAGTGTAAAGTTTCCACAGTCAGTGATGGTTTGAGGTGCCATGTCATCTGCTGGTGTTGGTCCACTGTGTTTTCTGAGGTCCAAGGTCAACGCAGCCGTCTACCAGGAAGTTTTAGAGCACTTCATGCTTCCTGCTGCTGACCAATTTTATGGAGATGCAGATTTCATTTTCCAACAGGACTTGGCACCTGCACACAGTGCCAAAGCTACCAGTACCTGGTTTAAGGACCATGGTATCCCTGTTCTTAATTGGCCAGCAAACTCGCCTGACCTTAACCCTATAGAAAATCTATGGGGCATTGTGAAGAGGAAGAAGCGATACGCCAGACCCAACAATGCAGAAGAGCTGAAGGCCACTATCAGAGCAACCTGGGATCTCATAACACCTGAGCAGTGCCACAGACTGATCGACTCCATGCCACGCCGCATTGCTGCAGTAATTCAGGCAAAAGGAGCCCCAACTAAGTATTGAGTGCTGTACATGCTCATACTTTTCATGTTCATACTTTTCAGTTGGCCATCATTTCTAAAAATCCTTTTTTTGTATTGGTCTTAAGTAATATTCAAATTTTCTGAGATACTGAATTTGGGATTTTCATTAGTTGTCAGTTTTAATCATCACAATTAAATGAAATAAACATTTGACATATCAGTCTGTGTTCAATGAATGTATACATTATACAAGTTTCACTTTTTGAATGGAATTACTGAAATAAATCAACTTTTTGATGATATTCTAATTATATGACCAGCACCTGTATTTTGCCAACAGTATGTTGACCCCTCTGTTCTTTTCACTAAGTGGGAGATATTGTCGGTGTCATAAATAGCCTTGCTCTCAGACTTGGAATAACAAGTTGGAGGCTGACATGAACAGTGAACGCACAGTAACTGATTTTGATGATTTTGGATAGGCTACCTGTCCTTGGAATCCACCCATTAAAATTAAACAAAAACAATTCTCCAGTAGACTCCAGGGACAGATACTCCACCTACTCCACCCTGCAACCTCAATATCAATCTGCTGTGGGGGTTTGTGAAAATATGTGAATACAGATGTCCCTAACCCCTTAACACAAGTTGATGAGCCCATTGAGCCTCAGCCAGTCATGTTAATAAAGATCTGTGGAGCAGTGGGAGAAGGAGGGCTTATCTTTCTAACCAGAAACAGCTGTTGCAGATTCCAGTGACTGGTTTCTGTTTAGGTGCCTCATATTTCGGGATATTGTCCTGTTATTCACCTTCTGTCTCCCTGTTCTTTTTCTCATCTTCTTCCACTGGATGGGGGGGGTCTTTTCACTCCCAGCGCAAGTCACCGTTGACAGCAACAAGACAGCAGTGAGCGGCAAGAAGGCCTCCCTCTCGTGCTCCTATGGTTTGCCTGAAAAGGTGCAGCAGATCATATGGAGACACACGTCTGCGCAAGGAGACTCCATAGAGGTGGCCTCCTTTGCAAAGAAGAGCGACCCCATGATAGAGCCACCGTATCAGGGGAGAGTCTGGCTAAGTGCCTCCATGTCCGACAGTCAGCTCACCATCCAGCCTGTCACTATCCAGGATGAGGGCTGCTACACCTGCCTGTATACCACACATCCCGACGGGCCAAAGAGCTCCACAGTTTGCCTCGCCACCTTTGGTAAACATTTATGTCCCCCACCAGCCATTATTGAAGATTATTTTATTTTACATTTTAAAAAAGTATTGCCCACCCAGAAACAAAATGGGTGTGGAAAACATCACCAGGTTATGGCAGGTTATGTACAATATATTGTACATACATTTTAATTATCATACAGTGTTTGTGATGTTGTAAAAAGTGACATTTCTTTTATTTTTACTGAAGCATCATGCAATGTAGGGATAAGGCCATAAGGCTGGATTAAAGGATACGTTTGTATTTCTTCAAGACTACTTACAGCCTAATACAATACTCACATGTACGCTGAAAGAGTTATTGGGAATTGTAATCATTCCTCCTGTTCATGTTGATATCTTCCTAGTGAAACTCCACTGTAAGAGATGGGGGACAAAGTCCTCACTGTGCAAGAATGTTTTAGTCATCATTTTGGGAAATGTGAGAGTTATAGAAGAAGATTGACACCACTCTTATGTTTGTATGGTAAATATGAGGCTACTCATAGCAGCTTTAGCTTAGCAAAAAGACTGGAAACAGAGGAAGAGCTAGCCTGGCTCTGCACAAAGGTAATCCCAACATATCCAACTAATCATTTAAATTCAACTGAAGGTAATATGTGTCTTGTGGCCTGAGTTGGCCAAATCAAGTAGTATTTATTTTTTGTCACGCGTAGGTTTATGCCTGGTGTTTTCCCATGTTTTTTACATCCATGTTTTAGACTGCCTTGGATGTAAAAGTAAGGACTGTCTGTGGAAACACAAAGAGGGAAGTTTGTCCTAAAAAGACTGAAGATAGTTACTTGATTTGGCTAACTCTGACTTCTGAAGCCTCACATTAGTTTCCTGGGAAAAAACACATAACCCATTCTTTAATCTCAATATACAGTTTAGGCAGATGGGAGTTAATTTGTAAGTTTCTGAGTAATCCTTTAAATAAGTGTTGGACAAATGGACATTTTGACTTTGTGGAAGCGTTACATCAGGGATCAACAAAGTTATTTGGATTCTTAGTCTGGGCATCATGAATGTCATGGCAGTCTATCCAATTGACATAGATGTGGACCAACAGATTGACCCTCACTTCCATCCCTATAGGCATGCTGCAAAAATGTAAAAATATGACATTCGGGGCAGATACATTTATGTGTTGCCAATGCTTCTGTTGTTACTCCAGTCATAAGCCTTTCGCTGCAGTGTTTCACTAGAGTGTCAGTTTTGTGTTCACCTCACTGACAGAATTTTTCTTTTTCATGAAATATAAATGTCAGTTATTCAGATGCACATATTTGCAGGGCTGTAGCTGTGAGTTAATCTGTCACAAAGTATATGTAGGTGCTGGGACGACAGTATCCTTAAGAGAAAATGGAGGTGTCAAACGTGTGGACAAACTGACAGGTGCGCCTGGGATCTAGACAGGAATATTGATCTTATCTTCCTGTTTGTGGCTGCTGAATGTTTTCATGATAAAGCAAAGGCTAACACACAGCAAGGTTAACACACAAACACAGAACAATGTGTCCATGTAAAGAATGGGCCATTCGAAAGAATGATGGAGGCAGGGAGTGAGGTCCTGATGCATGACTGTGCCAGTGTTTGCAGCAGACAGTGATTCTCTCTGTGCTTTGTCTCTCCATGCTCATTTGCTTTCCCACTTCGGTCTCAATCCCTTTCTCTCTCAGTTATCTCAACAAACAGATGTGCTTTTGTTTGAAATTGAACTGTACAGTACAGTAGGTGTTTCTAGTAGTGAGGCATGGTTAGCGTAAATGGTGGGTTTTTTTTCTTGTTGTGTATTGCTGCCAACAGTTTTCCACCCCTGTCCCACTGTGGATGACGTGATGCCCCCCTCCTCCCAACAGTGACAGCTAAGGGCCACCTACTAGGCTAACATTTTAAGAAATGTTAATTGCCGGGGCACCTTGCGAAAATAAAAAAGAAGTAGGCTAGTCAAAATGAGTGATCTTAAAATAGAGTTAATATTGCACTTACATTCATCAGGTGGCCAGAAACATGACTGGATGTGTAAATAAGGAACTGTTTCATCAAAAACCTCCATATCACCATATTCACCATATCAACTTCAAAATATGTCAGTTTTGTGTTCAGCTTGTTTTTACATTACTTGCTTTTATATTACATCATGATAGTTTAGAGTATTACAAAGGTGCTATAATGACAAGGGAAAGCTAGGGAAAAACTGTGGAGAAAAAATAAGAGCCCAAACTTCACTCCAGTTTTGTGCATATTTACAGAGCATTATGGTTTGGATTGTTAAGAAGATTGTTAAGAGTAAGTTTTTTTCCTGTTGTGGTTTGACCCACCCCCAAATTTGATACAATCCAGACCAACAGTGGGTGAAATTTGTTTTCATTTTATTTACTGCTGCTCGTTATGTCCTTGTATTGTATGTATGTTGATCTTTTGCTTCTAACATATCCTTGCCTGGGACATTTGAGTCAAGTGAACAGACCAGGTAAGCTGCAATTGAATTACCCTTTGTGGAATTGATAAAGTTGTCTGAATCTGAATCTGAAGTTCCCCACCTAAAACTCTGAGAAGACACTGAAACTAGGAGGCCCAAATATTTGTGGCTAAATGTGTTCTTGCCAACAAAAATGTTCTCGGTTCCAGTGCATCACATTCCTCACTCAGCCCTGAGAACAGTGAATTGAAAACAGTCAGAGATTTACTTATGGATCTTACAGTAAGTGTGCAGGAATTCACATACCCAAGCTGATCCAAAGGCTTCAGGGTTTTCCCAGGTATCATTTAACAATTTACCCAAAGACATTTTGAATTATATACAAATAAAAACTAACTACAATGTGAATTCTTGCCAATTTTTGACAGTTCTTCCACAGCGTGCTTTCCATAATTCACTTAATGTTTGATCATTTTGTGATAACATTTCCAGAGCTTTCTAGCTTGTGCATTTCACACACAGCACATGAGAACAAAGGAAGAAGGTAGAATAAATTAATAGTGCATTTCAGTGAACCTGTCATATGTGCCGTAATCTGTCACTGTATGAGCTTGCTTGTGTTTAAATATATACGCCAGTTGTTGTGATGCAAAATCTTGTTTTCATCTAATTTTTTTCTGTTTTTTTCTCCTAGTGCTGCCCAAACCGCAGGTGAGCTACAAGACCACCTCTCCAGGTGTGATCGAAGCCAACTGTACCTCAGTGTCCCGCCCCCCAGCAGAGATAGTGTGGAATGTGGAGAGGGATAACCGCACCATGGGCCCCCCTGTGACGACCCAGCTCCCGCAGAGTGACGGGACCACTCTTGTCATCAGTACACTGACTGTCAAGTCAGGGCTGCTGAAAGATGTGTCCATCAAATGCTTGGTGCATCACAAAGGGCTTGAGTCACCAATTGCGGTATCTATGAACACTAAAAGTGAGTAGCAAACCTTTGCTTCAATAAGACACTCAAAATTGTACTTTTGGTATACACCAGAAGTACCTTATGTCATTACCTTTGATGTTTTTGGAAAAAGAACCATACTAGCAATCTTTAGTATTCTTGGGTAACACCAAGAATACTAAAGAAAGCACCAGAGATTGTTGGAGACTATAAAGGACACAGAGTGTAGACTGTGCACATCCAGAAAACCTTTACAGGAGCTGGATCCAAAACTAAACTGAAAACAAAAGATCTGCATATTTTGCTGACAGATTGTAGTGATAGCTCTCAGTAAGTGGCAGTAATGCATCAATAAGCTGGATGCCAATTGCCGTAAAAAAAGAAGAAGTTAATTAATTATTTTTCAAATAAACATCACAAAGCTAGAATCAGAATCAGGTTTATTGCCAGGTACATTTTCACATACAAGGAATTTGCCTTGGTATAAGTTGGTGCTTACAGTATACATGAACATAAATATAAATATAAATATATGAAAATATAAAAAGTAAGGAGATCAAAAAAAGCACACAAAAAATACAATAATACTATAATGCAATGCTGATATGCCAATACATTAGTGTTTTACTGAAATGAAACAAAATGTTGCTCTGTTAAGTTGAATTTATTGGGAACTATCGGGACAGTGTGGATCTTTTTCTGACTTTTACCTTCAGACTAAAAGGGAAGTCCTGATCACAGACTTTCTTCTACTACTTCTATTTCTCAAATGTACAAAGTTCCCTAGTAAAACTAATACCTAAAATATGCTTTATTTAACTAAAATAAAAATCTGTAAAACTGTTAAACTAGTTTTAATGGGCAATAGGGAAATGTGTGTGGCTTTAGTCTGCTGATAAGCTTTAGTTGACCTTGGTGTCATGTGTCAGGAGTGCATACACTATAAATTAAGTCTCAAATATAATCAGTGAGGGTCCAGAAAAGACAAACACTGTCCAGACTAGCACAGGCCCCTCATGACATTTAATCTGACTTTTGCAAGGCCCGGATTTACACACCAGAGTTTATTTTTATAAAAATGTGTATCTTTCTCCCTCCATAGTTGGGACGGCTCTCACCATCCTGATCTCAGTCACTACAGTGGCAGCCCTCTTGGTCATGTCCCTCTGTTTCTGCCTTTGGAAGTGTTTCTTGCGGAAAGAAGGTCAGTATGTGTGTGTGTGTGTGTGTGTGTGTGTGTGTGTGTGTGTGTGTGTGTGTGCGTATGCATGTGTGTGTGGCATTCCAGACGAGATATCAAGAAGATTTTACTGTTTAACTGGAAGACATACCATTTTTAAACTATTATATTTGCCATTCAAGAAGAGGTAAGTGAACAATTAACACAACGACAATGCATTATAACATGGAAAATGTATTTATTTAACTTTAAGGGGATGTTAAATGGCTTAATCACATAATGGTTTTGAGCTGGGAATGAAAAAAATATTTTCTTTGGAGGTTTGTGTTGTACTTTACCTTTTCAGAAGTTGCTGATGTTCTTCTGACTTATATGGGAAAGTTTCTGCAGATTTACAACCACACTACGATCATCCATCATCAGGAACTTAAGAAATCATTTGTAGGTCAATAAAATTTATTTGTAGGGCTCCCTTCCTACTGTGGGTTTTGGCAAACTGCCCGGGTTTCTACAGAAACAATGAAAGGGAACAGTGGTCTATGTGGATGTGCTGCTGCACTGACTTAACTATAAAAACTGTTGCTATTAAACAAGGTCAGAAATCCACATTTCAGAGGGCAGAAGGTGTGACATGTCTTAGTTATGCCCTGAGATTTTGTGAAATGAGGAAGAAAGCCAAAGTCACAATGCAATCCATTTACCCTGGGAACGTCTAGGGCTTATGGGCCATGGTGATTGTCAAAGCTAAAAAAACATAAACATGGAATGAACAACGATTAGTTTTTCTAAAAACTTGCATCCTTGTCTAAACATATAAGCATGACACATGACATATTTTTAGTTGTTTTAATAGTTAAAATTGACATTGGGATTTTAAATTAGGTTTTCTTGCTTCTGGGGGACTGGTGACAACTACATTTTCATGACATTATGGAATAAAAAGTGTAAAGTGTCATGAAATATAAACAACCTGAAGTGGCAACAATGTTTAATAAAATAAAAGATAGAAACTTAATGAATTTATTTGTTCATTTATATTTTTTACATAATTTATTCATATGATTTTTTCTTTCATAATGTCTTCTCAATTTATTTAATATTGAACACTGGGGACAAATAGATTAGTGGCATGATATCATGCTTATGTCGTCCACATATGAGAACATGACAGTTATTTAATTTTTAATTTACATAAAACATAAATTTTTTGCAACCTGCACTCCATCTGCACTTTATTCACAGGTCTAGTAAGTGTTTTCTGTCTGCGCATTTAACCATGGATCTGTATAGTCGTGCTAATTGTGCAATATGTATTGTACACAATGAGGTAATAGCTGCACAACAGCTGAGGCAGAGCTCTGGTGTCTTAATGGACAGGACAGCTGAGACTGGATCTGGAATGATGAGGCCTGGTGCACATGTTTTTTTAATAAGGTGCAGGTGTTTTTTATGATTATGTTTGCAGGACATTTTCTATGATGGTTCCAATGTTTTTTATGCAGTGACAATATGGCAAGAACCTGTCCATCCAATGAGAGACAGACCGTTATTAGCAGGAAACAGACAACTTACAGTAAACATCTGGCAACCATAGTTCTGCGAGCCAATGAGGGTAGGGTCCACAGGCATGTCACTTCCTTTAGCTGTCTGTTTATTTATTTATTTAAGCATATGTGAAAATGCTCATGTTCATATGTTAAAGACTTAGCTAGACTAGCTAAACATTCTTACTTGTAGTGTGCTAGATGTAAAATAAGTACTATGCTAAATTGCATAAAGAAAAGGCACTGCAGATTATACTAGCCTTTTGGTGAAGCTAGTTTTTATGTTAACATATAGTTAAGAAACATAAACCTCTTTTGTGCTATCAGTGTCAGTGGTATCAGTTTTAATGGTTTGTGCCTAAACTCATGCTGCCTTCAAAAACATTTACAAGAAATATATTTTTTAAATGTATTTTTAAGTACTTACCACTAAAGTTAAAACAATACCGGTAGTTAAACACAAAATCACCATATACAACAAGCTAATCTTTAACAGCACAACTCACATTTAATGTTAGCATTAAGGCGTGTTTTTCCACAATCTGCTATAAGGTTAAAATGCATATCTTAGTTACAAACGTCTTCATAAAAGACTGATTTCAAAGTTATATTTGCCCAATAATATTTAAACATACTTGGATTTTATTTTACTTCTTATTTTTTTGCACAGAAGTTAACTTACAAATATTAGTTAGATCAACCATAAAAGCAGGCCTATTTGCTTTTAGACTTTTGTGGCAGAAAAGGAAGTAACGCACCTCGGGACATTTTCACATTTGCTCACAGACCTGGGGTCCCCAAACGTGAGGCCTGTAGTTGGACCCTTCTCCCACTGCCTCTTCATACTCTGCTTTTTTATGTTAAGCAATAATTTGCCGTGGCGGTGCGGTGGTGCAGTGGTTAGCAATGTTGCCTCACAGCAAGAAGGTAATGGGTTGTGTGGAGTTTGCATGTTCTCTCCGTGTCTGCGTGGGTTCCTCCCACCGTCGAAAGACATGCGGCCTAGGTTGATCGGTGACCCTAAATTGTCCTTAGGTGTGCATGTGAGCGTGAGTGGTTGTTCGTCTATGTGTGGCCCTGCAATGGATTGGCGACCTGTCCAGGGTGTACCCCGCCTTTCGCCCCATGGCAGCTGGGATTGGCTCCAGCCCCCCGCAACCCTGTACACAGGATAAGCGGTTGACGATGGATGGATGGATGAATAATCTGCCGTGTGATGCCAACTTCATCACTTCAGATCATGTATTGTACAAACCCAGAATTTTTTCCATAATCAGGTGAAACATTATATTTGCCATTAGATAAGTATGAGTATTAAGTATAGCTACTGAATGTCCAGCTGTGATGTCTCTGTATGTTTCCTTACAAGCAGGAGTCTTTTGAAAAGCTGAATAGTGTAAGGTGGGGGGTCTGAATTTGCCTTGTCATGCTGTCAATAGCTGTAAAATTTTAAATCTCATTTTAATGGAAAATATAAATGTGAGAAAACACTGAACTTGAAAAAAATGTATGTTGCATTCTTCCATTTTATGTCATTACTTCTCCTGTTCTCTCCATGTATTTCTTTTCAGCCGATTAATCTTTTAGATGAGACCAATGAGACCAGAGGCTGAAAAGAAGAGGCAGTGCTTCCCAGAGGCCAACCTTGCAGAAATGTTTCCCTGCATCATCATCATCATCATCATCATCATCATCATCATCATCCCCATCAAGGGAAAATGCTCTGACACACCTCTACAGGATGTCAAATACAATCCTATGAGCGCCAACTGTGCGACATTCATCTCTGCTCTTCTGCCTCTTACCAGACTCTTATATAATCTCCAGGCTGTCCTCACATGAAGTCAATGAGAAAATGCTGAGTGCATGATTTTTTCCTCTCTGGCTCTGTAATTGATTGAGGCGATGGCTACACATTCCACAGCCCACAACAGAGTCACTTAAAATACTTCACTCTGGTTGTTCTCGTCATTTACCAGGTCATTTAAGTATAAGTCTGGTGATTTATTATTTTTCTTATACAGCAAATCCCATGAAAAGCCTAAAGCTTTATTCAGACTGCAGGCAAATCAGACAGACTGTCTGCACAGTTATTTGTGAGTGACCAGATCAGATTTGTGTGTCCAGACATTACCAACCAATCTGCATGGCTTGCTGTGGTAAAGATGTGGGCATCAGTAACTACGTACGGAGGTAAGGTGGCTTTTTAATGTGGAAGCATGAGAAATGGAGATTATCACTCCTTCGTCGCTGAGTTTGTCTGGTGCGATGGAGAAGTCTTGCAATGTGACTTGAAAGAACAAAGAATGGATTTTATGCTCTTCCGTGGCTTTGGATTTCATGTCGTCGTTGCGTGTCACAGTGCATGTCGCGTTGCAAGTGGTGCAAATGACATTTTGAAATTCGATTTGAGTGGCCAGAGCATCCAGACTGAGACACATCTATAGAAATTATATTGGAATCACATTTCAAACCACCTCTAAATGTGGCTTGTATCCAATTTGGTTTTTTTGCTGTCCATACTTCAGATGAATCTGGATATGCCAAAAAAAAATTATTTGGGCTAGCAGTCTGAACAAGGTCTAAAACTAACAATTTATTCTACTTAAAACTGTCTGTGTAGCCAAAACTATCCAATTGTCCAATAATGATTAAAAACAAATTAACAAGCCACATGATGCACATGAGTATCTACCAGAGCAAATGAACCATGTGCTCACAGATTTGTCCGGTTCCCAGGCTAATGCCCAGCTGTTTTAGAAAATGATTTAACTTCTTATTCTCAGTAAGTTCCCTGACTGAACTAGTAATGTTTACATGGGAGTATAGAATATCGCCAGACTTGTCCTTTAAATAAGCTAATTGGCACTATGAACTCACCATTAAGTTTTTACTTCTTTTACCTCAGTCAAAGGCCTCAGTCACTTCTGTGTGTTGTCAAACCTGGGTGGGGTTACGGATTTTCTGTATTAGTTCAACTAAGAGGGCTACAAGCGTATCTATCGTTTGTGTAATATCTATTGCAAACTTTTTTTTACATGTTGGAAGTCTGTTTGTGTGTGTCGTGAGAGAGAATGTGTGCATATTTTCAGAGGTTAGATGGCTTGAATCAATTCCCTGAAGAAGCAACGATGAAACCTTTTTGGTGCCCCCGAAAGGAATGCGTGTCATGTTGCCTGTCTACAGTCAGACAGAGTCAGGCCAGTTCATGTGTGTGATGATGTGAGTGTTTAGGTTGGACTGTTGGGTGGCTTGGTGGTTTGATAATGGTTAAATTACCTAAAGAGCCAATGTGCTGCTGTGATTGTTCTTGAACCTCTTGTTTTTTTTGTTCGTTGCTTTGGATCAAAGTGGCACCAGAATGCCTAAAATATGTGTTATGAGGCTTTTGGAATATATCATGTTTGCATGTGTACAGCGGTATTTAAAAAAATAAGCTTTACGCTGAAATAATCTTCTGTATCAAAGCATATGATTTGAATTTGAGTCAGTTATCAACTGAATAACATGCAAGTTATCAGACTTCAAGCTTTGTGCTTCAATCGGGCACATCACATTCCTCACAATTAAAAAGAGTTTAGGCAGCATTCCCCTGTCTGTATAGTTTCACTATATGCACATTAACTAATCCTGAAACGTGTTTTTTGAAACATTTTTTAAATAAATGGAAATGTTGCATAGCATCCAAACCTGTACAGAGCAACTGTTGGCCCGTAACAGAAGAAGAAAATATGAAACGATGCATTATGACCATGTAAAATTGATGTAATAAATGGAGCAAACAGAATAATAAAAATATTAAAAATGGCAAGTTTCTTGATGAATTTCAAATCTAGTGGCACTCTTTCAGCTCAGCTTTGTACCTCTCAGAAAAAAACATGAAATTCCTTTCTGGTGTGCCAAACCTGGCTTCCAGATGCAAATTTCTGGGTCCTTTTTCATCCCAAGCCAGGCGGGTTTTGGTGGACCTCGAAGAGCAAAAAAACACACATGTTGTGCACACATCCAGACACACAGGCTGTAGAAAATTGTTGTAAATTCTGTTCTAATTCATAAGCTATTTCTGTATGTTTGAAAGGCTGATTGTATGAGGTTATGTGTCCACAATCAGTTTGAAATCAAGTTACGATCAAGTTTGAAATCTGTTCCTTAAAGATGCATGCTGAACCATTTTCTTTCATCATGTCTGCTTATCTGCATTTGTCAGGCTAGTTCATGTGTGGGGTAAAAAAGTGTCCTTAAAATATCATTGAACAAATCCCTAAAGCAATGCCTGCTGATTTGAATGTTGCTCTGGATCAAAGTGGAACCTAGACAATGAAATTATAATGCTATTATAATGCTATTTTAGGCATTATTTACAATTAAAGCTGTTACAAACTTGCTGTTTATTAAAAATACTTTTCAGATTTTTACTTTTTAATAACATGAATGTCTTCTTCATGAATCCCAAATGATCCACTTCTATTTCTATTTAATAATCCTCTAGATACAGCATCTGTATGCACCTTGTCAGATTAGTTTTAAGTCACAGTGCTCTGCAGCCACACACTCTTTCAGTAAGCTCAGGCTCGATCTAATCAGGACTGTCTCAAACGCCGCCTTCGCACAAGCCTCCAGCCTCTGTCTCTCTGCCGTGTGAACCAGGGCTTTGTCCACCAAAGAAAAAACACTATTACTGATGTGTGTGTGTGTGTGTGTGTGTGTGTGTGTGTGTGTGTGTGACAGAAAGAGAGAGAGAGAGAGCGTATAAGAGCAGAACTTGTGTGTGGGCTGTGACTACCAGACACCGTTGCTGAGATGAAACATTTCCACTCAGAGACAGAAAAGAAGTTCACCAGCTTATTTCACATGATGTTCAGGACTCACATAAAGCATGTAGACTAATTTCAACTTCTCTTTTGAATGCATCCCTGTGAGACTACTATAAGAACCATTAAAAAGCCAGCTCACATTATTCAGGAGCATTTCATGACATTTTCCACATCACATTTTTTAGTGAAAAGACCTTTTGTGAACATCTGAAAATGGATTATGGTCAGGATTTACAACTCGGGGAACACTGTGCTCTACTGGACATCATCTAAAGTGTGTTCATGCACACTGTATGTATTCAACATGATGAGCAGTGATGAGTGATTTGGTTAAATAAGGTGAGCAGGGCAACATGGGAACAGTAATTCCTGCTGTTCTGAATTCTGTCATTACATTTTATTTGCTTTCTGACTGACTAAAAGCAGAGAGAGAAAAATTGGCCCATGGCCTACAATAGAAGTTAAAAGAAGTGATTTGATTTGGGAGCAACACATTCACAATTTACCTGTGAAATAAACAAACAAAAAAAATCTTAAAAGTCACCAGATTAGAAAAAAATATTGTGGTTTTTCTGATTTATTAGTATAGTACTCACTCAAAATGGAAAGGTTTGGTTTTCTTTTCCAGCAATTTTCACAAGTATCAGGGTTTTCACCACTGATCATGGAAGTGGACAGCTTCATATTACATCATTTTAGCCAGGTTCATAATAACATTTTCATCACTTACCAGATAAGGCAAAGGCCTAATAGCACATAATAATAGATAACTTCTGCATACTTAATTGTGCATTTGCTGATGATTTTATTGAGTGCAAACCGACGGAAATGCCTAGATATAGTCTATGTGGTTCCCAACATTAGGGTCAGGACCCTCCTCTAGGGATCTTAAGACAAATCTGAAGGAGCCTCAAGATAATTGATTGTATAAGAAAGACAAATCTTTGCCTCCCCTCTTTGTGTTTCTGTTAAGCGTTTATGTGAATTAACTTTATCAGGCCAATCAATAATCCTCTTTCCTGTATGTTATTGCTAAGCGTGTGATCTCTGTAATGATAAGACCACACGGTAAGACCACTACATGACATGATCTCAGTAGTCAAACCATGTGTGGTTGAGAAGAAGCGGGGCATTTGCTACCACAAATGATGTCAATGTTACAAATCTTTCAATGCCCTACACATTTAAACAAAACCACACGGGTGTGGTTTGCAGGCCAGGTACAGCATTTCCACCGGTGGAAATGAAAAACACTGAGGTCAGTATGTTCGTCAGGAAACGTGAGATACAACACCAGACTCGTCATTATATTTTCTCATAATGTCATTGCTCTTCAAATACTCAAATGGTCATCACACCTGAAATAATGCAAAAATAAATATTAAGCACATCACATCTGTAACAAAAAACAAAATGTATATATTGGCTTATATTGCTACACATACTACCAAATCGGAAACAAGAATGCACAAGCAGTGTTCAGTGAGCCTGCAGATGACAAATCTACTTACCCACTGTTTTTTAACAACAAACCCTCAACCCTTTAGCCAACAAAGTTAAATAAGTACATAAGAAACCTTCCAAGTCATGTAAGTTAAATGACTGAAGGTAAAAACAACCTAGACATTAATAATTAAAAGCAGCATTTCTTGGAACAAGGTAGGATAAAAAATTCTATGCTGCTTGTCTAGCCAGTTTAATTCAATATGACTGTACTGTGCATTTGCATGACCACAAGAATCCCCTGTTCGCCTCTTCTGCGGTGTGGTTGATTGCTTAACTTCCTTGCCTGTTCCATGACACCACCACCTACTTGTGTACATTTTTCCATCTATGTTTTCATCTGCATGTGGCAATGACTAATCAAAAGTGTTCAGGAAATGTTGATAGTAGCATATTCTGAATTTTTATTTTGTTCAGTCACGGTTTGCTGTTCTCTGGCACATACCCTAGACTGCTGGTGGTTGATGATAGCATAGACTGCATGGTCTGACGTTTGACTTTTATCTGCCACAGCAGGTTGGTTCCCATTGTTCATCAGGGGAGGTTGTGGTAGCGGTCTTCTTGCTGTACTTGGATAGTAAATGTCATCCAGAATGGAGAAGTGGGTTTTCAAGACAGGAGAGAAAGGAGCATTCCCCTTGGGAAGGTTGGGTATTACATGAGTAGATATTTCCTATGACAACAAAACACCAGAACAAGATTAAATAAGCAAAATCATACTTTTGCTTGACACCATTATGACTCTTGAACATCTGGATTAAAGAAATAGTTTGACATTTTGAGAAATGTGCTTGTTCGCTTTCTTACCGAGAGTTAGATTAAGATCGATGCAACTCCCATGTCTATAAGCTCAAAGCCAGCAGCCAGTTAGCTTAGCTTAGGACAAAGACAGGAAAAAGGGGCTACTCTGGCTCATATTAAGATCATATTGCTTGTAAACGTTCATATGATCCAGCATAGCCTGTTAGATGTCATGTTTATACTTTCCTAGTTGACACATATGCTATTTTAACTTTGCAGAGACTGCCACCTACCAAACCCAAATTACTCAGCACACGTTTCACTTTTCTTGCAGTTGAGTGTGGATAAACCGGAGTTCCTCAGCTGAAACAGTTTTAGGGCATCTATCAGCATTTTGAAGTCATGGTACCTCTTTCTTTTGGTCCAACCATGGGCAGCAGAAGATCAAGGCATTCCAGGAAAGAGTTGACCCGAACATATGGATTTAAAGGTTAACACATTATGTATTGTTTGTTTCATCCGTGTAAAAACCAAAGACTAAAAAAAATATGTTCTGGTTTTACAGGGCATCGGCCTACTTCTTGGCTGGGTGCAGTATCCTTGAGTTTCCATCTGCTTGATGTTTCCTGAACTTAACAAGCACTAACATGTAACTTTTACAACTCAGATTTAGTCCAGATTAAACAGACAAAATAAAACATGTTGATTATTGAGTTTTAGAGTTGCTAAGCTAAGCTAATTTGGTGCTGCCTGTTGCTTATATTTATCATACAGACATGAGAATGGTATCATTCTTTTCATTTAACTTTCCACAAGAAAGGGAACAATATTATTTCACAAAATGTCACACTGCATTGCATTACCTGTCCCTCTGCATGATTGAAAGTCAGGATTCCTGTGAAGAAGATAATACAACAAATCCTCCACTGTTAGGTCAGATCAATACATTTTGTCACACTAATTCAGAATGTGAGTACATATTAATGTTCTTACGTTTCCAGCCATAAAAACTCAGGTGGGTTATCACTGTCAAAATGACGACCAGAAGAGTTATGCTAACGCAGATGTAGAAGTAGGGCAGCCAGGACTCTTCCTCACCATCAGCAGCGCTTGGTAACTCATCTAGAAAAGAAGAAGAACCAGATCAGAAGTCCTAGTCTGTCTCCATTAACATGTATGTATGTAATTACAAAAGACAAATAAAGGTTCTTACCAGCATTAATGTCAGACTTTTTAACCCCATGGTGTAAGTCTGTAGATTGATAGAAAGAATTTACAATTAACACTTAAAACTAGACATTTTATATCTATATTTTGGCTCTGAGGGAGAAAAAACTGCCTACCCGAAACTGAGATGTTGATGATGTGACTGACCGCCACATATTTCGATCCTTTTAAATAACATCTGTAGAGGCCGTCATCATAAATGGATATCCGTTTGAAAATCAAAGATGAGATCATTTCATCCTGTAATATTTCTACATTCCCAGTTTCATTAATCTGTTCACATCTGTTTGTGTTGAGCAGTTTACACCAGGCAACATCTAGTGATTCTCCACAGTGTTTGACAGGACATTTGACTGTCAGTGGTTGTCGCGGGGCAGTTTTTAATGTCGTGCCTCTATGGACCATCAGTGTAACTTCACATGAAGGAAACAAGTCTAAAATAAAAATAATTGAAAATCAAATTTCAATCAAAACACACCTTAGTTTTGAATGAAAAATAATAACAGTAATAATAATTCACAATAAAAATACAACACAAGATAAATGTTTCTCTCAATACTAAATTCTGATAATTACATGCAAGAAATTACAGAAGCCCTAAGAGGCCATACATTCATACATTTTCTTTACTCTGTTTTCCTGTGATAACGAGTTCAATTAAATTGTTTTTTCAAGATCGAGTTATTTATGTCATTGTCTCAAATTAACAAATGTTGTTTTCCCAAGGCACATTTTAGTTTTATGCTGGTAGTGGCCATTCATGGGAGCGTTTTCCTCACCTCATGTTTTTATTATCTGTGTGTGTGTGTGTGTGTGTGTGTGTGTGTGTGTGTGTGTGTGTATGGGGGGGCATTATTGCCATTGTCTTTGATTTTAAAGTGTAAAGCACTTTGTGTTACATCGCTTTTGTATGAAACATGCTATACAAATAAATATTGATTGATTTATTGATTGATCATTTTCTTGAGATCTTGAGGTAACGAAACTTTGTTTTTCTGAAATAATGACATAATTTTACAATATGTTGTGAAAACGAAACAGTAGTCTTGTACAGAGGTCGGTAAGTGTTTGGCATTGGGAAATTTTTTTTTAGTCAAATGATAATTTAAGACCGATTGCCTGTGTACCCAGTTAGCTTTAAATCATGTGCTTGAGTGTGTGCGTCCCAGCAAATGGTCCACATCTATCAACCTATGGACACCTATTTTAATTTCAAGCACCTTTGAAAAGTTCTTTCAAAAAGGCTTGCTTGACACACCTCTTAAATAGCCTTTGAGAAATATGAGATCAGATTCCCCTGAATGAGAAGCGCAGGAATTTCCTCTGCCTGGGGATGCTGGGGAAATGAAAATAAGTCTCTATAGGTTGGATGTGGATCGATCGGCAGGACACAAACACTCCAGTTCATGCTTTATTGTGAGCTTTCTCAAAACAAAGTTTAGATATCCCGACATCTTGAGAAAACAATCCTGTTATCACGGAAAAACAGAGTAAATAAAATGCATGAATGAATTGCCTCTTATGGCTTCTGTAAGAAATGAACATTTTCAGAATATATTAGAATTATTCCAAATACTGCTTGTTTGTTTTGGGGAAATATCAATAACATTAATAATTTTATAGCAATAACATCACTACTACCCCTTGTTACAGTCATGAATCCAGGCCTTCTGAAACACAAAGTTGTTACCCTCTTATTCCCTTACTGTTAACATATTTTCTTCTTGTACTAACATATAGGTACCAATATGTATAGGTATTGTATTGATACCCCACATAGCCTTACCCCATCAGACTACGCACATACATTTTCTCTTGTCCAGTTAAAGACTCCAATCTATTCAAAATGTTCCCACATGCTTTGTTGAAAGTCATGTCACAAGATAAAAGAGTGTCATGGCCTACCTTGATCTCTTCCATCGATGCAGACAAATGTAAAACAGGAAAATATCAGCAGATAGGTGCGCAGCAGTCTATCCATTAGGCTTGACATGTTCATTACCTGAGACTTTACAGATGATCTAAAACTGTAGCTACTGCATGGGCACCTTTCACTCGTGACGAGCTCACCACTTCCTGACCTCCTACATATATTCAAAGACCCTCCTGCACGAGTGTGTGTTTTACATTGACAACCCACACGAAAAATGCAATCTATATTACTGGATCTTTGCATTTTAATTCTGTAATACATGCTCACGCTGTCTATTTATAAGGATGTAGATCATCCTCAATATAAAGCTGAGACACAGTTAGTTTAGGTTATTAAGTGGGCTTGTCACTTCCTGTAAGGGGGCTGGGGTTCACCTTTGTGTATAGATTCATCATTTCAACCAACAACAATCCAATGTTGTCCTAAAGTGGTGTCAGTCTGCTTTCAAAGTCAGACTGAGGCCTTATCATTCCCATGAGTGACAAAAAATCAGTTTTACCACAAAAAGTATTACCACTATAGACAGGCTACATGCATGTTAGTGAACATGTTACATAAGTTAGCAGTGAGGCCACCTGAAGGTTCTCATCATCTTTATGAAATAATAAGATGCCTGCTTCCTTCCCCTATCTAATTTGTGCAAATATCAGCAGCTCCTGTAGATGGAGAAAAAGGCAAAAGTCTGCCAAAGTGCACTCACAAGCGGTCACTGTGACTTGGATAAACATTTTCAACACAGGACTATTTCTTAAACAACTAAATATACTGTACATGGCAATTACTTGTTTTCATCACAGTTGTACTTGCTGCATCATCTTGTTTATTCTCAGTAGACATGTGGTGCGTTGATACTTTTTTTTACATCTTGCTTTTTTCAGTGCAACCAGTAAATGGCAAAGAATGATACTTAACTTTGTGTAAATCACCCAGACTGCTCCAACAGTGCCCTCCAGTGTACAATATAATGCTCTATACTCCATGAGGTTCAGTCCTACCATCTCTTAGGATTGCTACTTGGTCTATATCTTGACTCTTCCATTCAAATCTTATGTCATCTGAGATCACTGTCATTCAGTAAGCTAATATGAATAAACATTTCATCATTGTGTCTTTATTTATTTATAGTAACAATGAGACAACAGTGCCATTATGAAGCCAAACAGGAAAAGACAACATTACCCGTTATCATTTGCATCAAGCATGCGGTGAATAAAAACATTCTTATATGCCACGAGTCTCTTGTGATCCTCTGAACTTTTAAAGAAAAGCATTACGAAACAATGCTTTTATCATTTTTTACATTTTGACACTAGAACATTGTTCAAAACCAATAGTTTGACCTAAGGGTAGAGTGCTTAACTGAAAGAGATGAATTAGATGTAGTCCTGGATCGTGAAAAACACGAGGTATACTTTTAAGGGTTAACAAATATATATTATTTGTTTAACTGGTACACAAATAACAAAGTGCAAAAACAGCACATTGTGGTTTTACTTCTTGGCTGAGCAAAATACCTTCTTGGAGTCTCCACTGGTTTCCTGGCAACCTCACTGTGACAACAAGCAACTAAATCCCTAATAAAAGCCACATGTGATTTTCACATCTCAGTTTTAGTCCAAATTAAACAAACAAGACACAGCATGCCGATTAGTGAGCTTTAGAGACACTAAGCTAAGCTAAGCTAAGTTAACTGGCTGCCGCCTGTACCATCATATTTATCACATAAAATGGTATCATTCTTCTCAACTCAAAGCATGAAAGGGAGTGCATATGTTTATTTTTCAAAATGCATCACATTTCCTGTCCCTTTGCTTGGTTGTTAGTCAGTATTCCTGTTTAGAAGACATACAACAAATGCTCCACTGTTGGATAAGATCGACACATTTTGTCACAGTAATTCAGGCTGTGAATACATGTTAATGTTCTTATGTTTCCAGCCATAAAAACTTAGGAGGTATTAACACTGTTAATGTGATAACCATAAGAGCTGTGATAACACGGCTGTAGAAGTAGGGCAGCCAGGACTCTTCCTCACCATCAGCAGCGCTTGGTAACTCATCTAGAAAAGAAGAAGAACCAGATCAGAAGTCCTAGTCTGTCTCCATTAACATGTATGTATGTAATTACAAAAGACAAATAAAGGTTCTTACCAGCATTAATGTCAGACTTTTTAACCCCATGGTGTAAGTCTGTAGATTGATAGAAAGAATTTACAATTAACACTTAAAACTAGACATTTTATATCTATATTTTGGCTCTGAGGGAGAAAAAACTGCCTACCCGAAACTGAGATGTTGATGATGTGACTGAACGCCACATATTTCGATCCTTTTAAATAACATCTGTAGAGGCCGTCATCATAAATGGATATCCGTTTGAAAATCAAAGATGAGATCATTTCATCCTGTAATATTTCTACATTCCCAGTTTCATTAATCTGTTCACATCTGTTTGTGTTGAGCAGTTTACACCAGGCGACATCTAGTGATTCTCCACAGTGTTTGACAGGACATTTGACTGTCAGTGGTTGTCGCGGGGCAGTTTTTAATGTCGTGCCTCTATGGACCATCAGTGTAACTTCACATGAAGGAAACAAGTCTAAAATAAAAATAATTTTAAAAAAAAATTAAAAAAATAAAAATAAAATAATATAATAATAATAATAAAAATAATTGAAAATCAAATTTCAATCAAAACACACCTTAGTTTTGAATGAAAAATAATAACAGTAATAATAATTCACAATAAAAATACAACACAAGATAAATGTTTCTCTCAATACTAAATTCTGATAATTACATGCAAGAAATTACAGAAGCCCTAAGAGGCCATACATTCATACATTTTCTTTACTCTGTTTTCCTGTGATAACGAGTTCAATTAAATTGTTTTTTCAAGATCGAGTTATTTATGTCATTGTCTCAAATTAACAAATGTTGTTTTCCCAAGGCACATTTTAGTTTTATGCTGGTAGTGGCCATTCATGGGAGCGTTTTCCTCACCTCATGTTTTTATTATCTGTGTGTGTGTGTGTGTGTGTGTGTGTGTGTGTGTGTGTGTGTGTGTGTGTGTATGGGGGGGCATTATTGCCATTGTCTTTGATTTTAAAGTGTAAAGCACTTTGTGTTACATCGCTTTTGTATGAAACATGCTATACAAATAAATATTGATTGATTTATTGATTGATCATTTTCTTGAGATCTTGAGGTAACGAAACTTTGTTTTTCTGAAATAATGACATAATTTTACAATATGTTGTGAAAACGAAACAGTAGTCTTGTACAGAGGTCGGTAAGTGTTTGGCATTGGGAAATTTTTTTTAGTCAAATGATAATTTAAGACCGATTGCCTGTGTACCCAGTTAGCTTTAAATCATGTGCTGGAGTGTCAGTGGTTGTCGTGGGGCAGTTTTTAATGTTGTGCCTCTATGGACCATCAGTGTAACTTCACATGAAGGAAACAAGTCTAAAATAAAAATCAAATTTCACTCAAAACACACCTTAGTTTTGAATAATTCACAATAACTCATCTTATGTAATGATAAGATGGTGCATCAATACTTTACATATCAAAAGTGATTTTTTAAAAACTTCTTGTTTGTTTCAATGCTAGGTTAATTGATGTCACCAAAATTGTCGTTAGGTGTAGATGTGAGTGTGAGTTTTTGTCTGTCTGTGTGGACCTGCGATGGACTGGCGACCTGTCCAGGGTGTACCCCGCCTTTCACCCGATGGCAGCTGGGATTGGCTCCAGCCCCCCACAACCCTGTACACAGGATAAGCGGTTGACAATGGATGGATGGATGGTTTGTTTCAATGCAACCAGTAGATGGCATAAGATGATAATTAACTTTCCATAGTAGAATGAGGGCATTTTCTTGCTCAGTGGTATGTGAATCACTCAGACTGCTCCAACAGCACCCTCTAAATTATAGCACAATGTTGTATACATGAATGCATCATCTAGATGCTAGATGATCTTAACTGATATAGGATGTAAGTTTTTTATCTTTCAGATCTTAAACATCTGATATTTGACAGCAAAAACTGATCAGAACTTTCACTATGGTGAATCATCCTCATTCTGAGCTGCTGATTGTATTGCACAATGTTTTTCCCAAAATGCTGTAAGTGCACCAGTTTTCAGATCACCATTTAAAAGGTTTGTAACCTGGAAAACAAACTAATACAATGAGAACAGTGGCAAATTTGAAAGTGTGTAGGAGAAAAACTGTAAAAAGAGTGCTGCAGTTAAAACCTCAAATACAAAATGATTTTTGCAGAGATCAGAAAATTTCTTTTAGCTATCAAAACATTATGCAAGTCTTCAAAACATAGTTTCAATCTTGCAAAACTTGATTATCTTTCAGGCTTTCAAACACTGAAAATCAACCTTTCAAAGCTTTCTTTCAGTTTGGAAACATGATTATCATCCCATATTTCTCCAGCCATGGCCACAACTGCTGAAAGGTTCTCCAGGAAAGAGGAAAACTAGCTACTTGTGCACTTATAGCAGCAAGTTAGCGGTTCTTGAGATAACTACATGAAATTCCCTCATTAGTCATAACATCTCTTCTGCTACTTGGTCGGTATCTTGACCGTTGTCCCTTTCACACTGTATGTCGTCTGAGATCTTTCAGTAAGCTAATATGAAAAAGCATTTTCATTATTGTGTCTTTATTTTGTGATAGTAGCAGTGACACGTCACCATTATGAAGCCAAACAGGAAAAAACAACATTACTCCGCTATCATGTGCATCAAGCATGAAGTGGATAAAAACATTCATAACTCAAGTCTCTTGCGACCATATTAACTTTTTAGAGAAAAACATTTAAAATAACAACGCTTTCATAAATTTTTACATTATGACACCAGAACATTGTTAAAAACTAATAGTTTGACCAGGTGTGACTGCTTAACCGAATGACATGAAAGAATTAGATATAGTCCTGGGTCATGAAAGTCCTGATTTATGCTTTTAAGGGTTAACACATTATCATTTGTTCAACTCTTACAAAAAAGAGTATTAAAACAACACATTTTGGCTTTACAGAGCGCCAAACTATTTCTTGGCAGAGAGATGTAACTTCCTGGAGTCGCCAACTGGTTTCCTGGCAACCTCTCTGTGACACAAAGCACATAACCCCTCATAAAACCGCAGTACATCAGTTTCACACGTCAGTTTTAGTCCGGATTAAACAAACAAGATGGTGAGCTTTAGAGATGCTAAGCTACTGTAACTGGCTGCTGCCTGTAACTGTATATTTATCACATAGAATGGTATCAATCTTCTCAACTCAAAGCATGAAAGGGAGCTCCTACATTTCTCAAAATTCATCACATTTCCTGTCCCTCTGCGTGGTTGTAAGTCAGTATTCCTGTCCTGTGAAGAAGATAATACAACAAGTCCTCCACTGTTTGGTAAGATCAATACATTTTGTCACAATAATTCAGACTGTGAATACATGTTAATGTTCTTAAATTTCCAGCCATAAAAACTTAAGAGGGATAACACTGTCAATTGACGACCAGAAGAGTTATGCTAACACAGATGTAGACGTATGGCTGCCAGGACTCTTCCTCATCACCAGCAGCACTTGGTAACTCATCTAGAAAAGAAGAAGAACCAGATCAGAAGTCCTAGTCTGTCTCCATTAACATGTATGTATGTAATTTGACAAATAAAGTTTCTTACCAGCATTATTGTCAGACTTTTTAACCCCATGGTGTCTATAGAGTCTGTAGATTGATAGAAAGAATTTAGAAGACATTTTATATCTATATTTTGGCTCTGAAGGAGAAAAAACTGCCTACCCGAAACTGAGATGTTGATGATGTGACTGAACGCCACATATTTCGATCCTTTTATATAAAATCTGTAGAGGCCGTCATCATAAATGGATATCCGTTTGAAAATCAAAGATGAGATCATTTCATCCTGTATTATTTCTACATTCCCAGTTTCATTAATCTGTTCACATCTGTTTGTGTTGAGCAGTTTACACCAGGCGACATCTAGTGATTCTCCACAGTGTTTGACAGGACATTTGACTGTCAGTGGTTGTCGTGAGGCAGTTTTTACTGTCGTGCCTCTATGGACCATCAGTGTAACTTCACATGAAGGAAACAAGTCTAAAATAAAAATGATTGCAAATCAAATTTCACTCAAAACTTGTCTTTTTTTTGAATAATTCACAATAAAAATACAAGAAAAGCAGAGGTGGCAGACTAGCAAAACTATAGGCTACTAAAGTGGGCTACTGTTAAAACAACGGGTCCTTTTTCCCCCAAGTCTTTTATGTGATGTGGATGTGACTGTAATTATTTCAGCTATTGATGGTCTTCCTCAGGTAAAGGTAAAGAATATACACTTGTATTTATTTGTGATGAAATTAATTATGATTTGGCAGTTAAATGAAATTAGGACATAATACTGTGATGTTTCATAATTTATTGCATATTAATACAAGTGTGTTCACTTCTTCACATTTACTTGAGGAAGATCATCTGTGGTTTAAACATTATATCAATCACATCTACATGAAATAAAAGTAGTCTTTTTGTGTGTGTTCATAATTTGGTCTCTCTTCATCATTACTAGTTAAATCCACACAGCTCATACACTGTCAGCTTGAATATTTATATTATGGCACAAAGCAGGAGTAGTTTTGAAGCATAATATACTGTGTGAAGCTATTTATTATTAAACATATTAGCATTAACACAACAGACACAGCTGTCTTTCAGCTGAGTCTCAGCACTCTTTGTTAGGATTTGGTTTTGTGCTGTTGTTTTTTCCTGTGTATATTTGATATTGTCATGGTTTGGAGTTTTGTAGTCTAGTTTATTATTATGTTCATTTGCTTTAAGTTTTCTTAGTAACTGTCTTGTCTCTTACCGTAGTTCTTAGTCCTGTGCTTTGGTTCATGTTTAGTGTTTTCTCAGTGGATGTACTTCTGTGTTTTATTACTTATGGTCTGTGTCTTAGTCTTTTATCTCCATGTTTTAGTTTGATCCTGTCCATGTCCTGATTTTGCAGTCGTTCCATGTTTTACTTTGGTAGATCTGTCCTTGTGTGTTCCGTGAACTTCACTTCCTTTTTTATTTTGTAGTCTTCTGTGCCTGGTGTTTTTGTTTAGCTTTGTTCCTGTTGTTAGTTAGTATATTGTTGTCTTGATGATTTATTTGTTACTTCTGCCTTTCTGTGTCTGCTTGTGTTTGTAGTCTTTTCAGTTTATTCTTTATTCTGTTCTGTATTAGTTTCCTGTCTGGTTTCCTTGCTGTTGCACTCTGTCTTATTCACTGTGTGTCTGCTGTGCCTGATTAGTCCTTATTCCCTTCACCTGTGTTGCTCCCACCCCACTCGTTAGTTCCTGTGTGTGTATATATGCTTGCTTGTTTCTTCAGTCTTTGTCATGTCCTTGAGTGTTGAGTGTTCTGCCTTGTGCTCTGTTCCCTGGGTTTCTGGTTTGTTCCCCTGTTTTGGATTACTCTGTCTTTGTGTTGGATTTACCTTCTTCTCGATTACCTTTGTTTGGACTTTTGCTCTGAGATCTGATTAGCCTGTGCAGTTAAGTTTTGTTTAAATAAATATTTACTGTTGAACTGAATCCTCCTGTTAGTGTCTGTGTTTGGGTCCACACCCTACCTCCTGCCACTGCACTCAATTATCCATGACACTCTTCTGATGTAACATAAATGACAACCAGAGCCTGCCGCACCAACACATTCCTAGGGCGTCAAATAATGACGCTTTGAGAAAACCTGACAAAAATCTACTCCGTTACCGGTAAGAGCTAAAGTATGATGCATTAAAACCACTCTGACAAGTAGCATACAATCAACTCAAAAAGGTTACTCGTATATACATGTAACGGAGTAAATGTAACTCTCTGAAGATAAGATAAATGTTTCTCTCAATACAAGACAGAGGTCCCCAATACTTTTTATAATACCATTTAAGGCCTTACCCATATAGACAACGCACACTGTAATTTACGGGCTGTAGTCTCAAGTGTAACTGTTTCTTGTCCAGTTAATTCCCCTCACGCTCTCTTGAAAATCATGTCACAAGATAAAAGTCATGGCCTAGAGTGTCATGGCCTACCTTGATCTCTTCCATCGATGCAGACAAATGTAAAACAGCAAACTATCAGCAGATAGGTGTGCATTAGGCTTGACATGTTCATTACCAAAGACTTTACAGATGATCTAAAATTGCAGCTACTGCATGGGCTCCTCTCACTTGTGACGAGCTCACCACTTCCTGACCTCCTAGATATATTCAAAGACCCTCCTGCAAGTGTGTGTACATCAATATGTCATTTAATAACACTGTTTACAAAGTGCACATATGTGAAAAATGCACATTGTGTATTACTGTATCTTTGCATTTTAATTAATTCTGTAATACACACATGCTTTCTAATTACATAGATGCAGGTCGGTTTTGCAGAGTTGTTGCAACCGTCCCCAGTCTCCCCTACACACTCACACACTCTATTTACACAGATGTAGATCATCTGCAAGATAGAGATGAGACACAGTTAGTTTAGGTTAATAAGTGGGCTTGACGTTTATTGTCTTGGTGTGCTGGGGTTCACTTTTGCAATCCAACATTGTCCTAAAGTGGCTCAGGAGCATCCCTGCAGTACAGCAGGAAGTGGTGACAGGCTGTCTTCAAAGTCCGACTGAGGCCTTATCATTCCCATGAGAGATGAAAAGTTCTCATCATCTTTATGTAATAATAAGATGCCTGCTTGCTTCCCCTATCCAATTTGTGCAAATATCTGCAGCTCCTATAGTTGGAGAAATAGCCAAAAGTTTGCCAAAGTGCACTCACAAGCGGTTACTATAAACAATTTTTGACACATTTCTAAAACAACTAAACATACATGGCAATTTTGATTGTTTTCATCACAGCTGTGGATACTTGGTGGATGTATGTAGACATACTGCATAATCTTGTGTATTCTCACGGGACATGATTTATCATTCTAAATGATTTTTAAATTTTCTTTTTTGTTTCAGTGCAACCCGTAGATGGCGTAAGATGATACTTAACTTCCTATAGTAGAATGAGGACATGTTCTTGCTCAGTGGTATGTGAATCACCCAGACTACTACAGTGTAAGTTTTTTTTATCTATCTGATCTCAAACATCTGATATTTGACTGCTGAAAATGATCAAATGTTTCAGTACAGTGAATCATCCTCATTCTGAGCTGTTGATTTTACTACTATGAGCATATTTCAGAAATATCTCATAATAATCATTACAATGAATTTAGGAATATTTTACTCCTCACAAAGACTTGTGACTACGTAACGTAAACTGGACTTTCTACTGAACGACTGAACGTGAAAATAAGGTCAGTGACTTCCTCATATTCCTCATCAAGAAAATTTGCACAATCATGCAAATGAGACAACACAGCAACAAGAGCAAACATTACAGTTATGGGTTCGGTTGCCTCACCTAAATCTATACTTACCCCCTGCAGTATGAAGTAATGTTTTTTTAGTTTTACTTGCAAATGTTTTTAGATATGTACTGCTGACACTTTAAACTGTGTCTTTCTAGAAGCAAAGTCTTGACATCTCCACAGGCATCACCACCAACAGTTTTTATTAGGGTCAATTTATTTAGTGAAAATTGTTGGACTATACTTTGTTTTGGGGTTAATTTTATAGATGCAGGTGAACTGATCCTTTAATGTATTTGCAGTTTTCTCCTATGACATCATTGTATGCGTGCATGTGTGTGTGTAATGTTAGAAACCTTCTCGCACAGGAAATCAAAATAGCACACAAAAAGGCTGTTGTATGCCCTCTCTCTCTCACTCTCTCTCTCTCTTTCATCTCTATCTCTCTACTGGTGTTCACTCAGATATAGCAGTAGAGAGATCAGTGAGATCAGTGTCTACCACAGTAGCTTGGGGTTGTCAGGCATCGGCACCTGCCACCTGCTGACAAATACAGTCTTATAACATCCAGAGTCTGTGGGCACATCATGGGAAACTGCACTTCAGGGTAAGTAATCATGCTTAGATATAAACATAGTGGAGGGCACACTCACATGCCACAAAGCAATATTCAGCATAATGTAATTAGCTAAAATAAAATTCTTTAAACTGCTGCATATACAGAAAGCTTATTTAAAACGAGAGTGAGTAAATCAGAAGAAAATGTTGTCAAGATCATTAAAAAATCAGTATTAGAGAGCTGGAAGCACTTGATGAAATGAAACAATGTTGTATTAGGCACTGGGGCAAGCAGCTTCTGCATTTGCTTCATCAAGGAAATAGTGGTTACTTGCTAAGAATAGACTCTGTTTCACCCAGTATCTTTGTGAACAACAGGCCAAACATTAGCAATTTTGCTGTGCACTACAGTATGTACTTTTTAAAACATGATGTGAGACGTTACCCTGGAAGTATACAAAGTTCAACGCCCTGTGCTGTTAGTCACTGATATAGACAGTTGGACATAGACAGATGTGGGTTGTAGGCATATGTAAAGTGTTTCCTGTTGCACCACAAGTTGTCATCTGTTAAGCTGTCAAGGAAAGTCCTGCCGTGTGGTAAAACATACACCCATAAAAAGCCCATTTAAAGATATTTTAGAATGTAAAAGACATTATGAACTAAGTGGACGTTAAATTACCATTTTCAGTCTTTTTATTTATCCCACACTGTGAGAGGCTGTATAATGCTATGTTGATCTAAACGAACATTTCAATTTGTTCTACTGTCAGGACAAAGAAGAAAAAGAAAGGTAAGACTACATTTATATATTATTTGTCTATAAAGTATACAAAGACCTTACACAGTTGTGCTACATTTTATTTATTTACATTTTCTCTTTCAGGGGACTCTACACCAGACCGTAATAGCAGCTTAGATAATAAGGTAGACCTGCCCATATCAATGTTGAGTCTATTTTTGTTGAGCATAATCTTCATCAGTTGCAGCTTTTCATGGGACACGGGTGTGTTTCAATGCTTTTATGATAAACCAGTCAGAGGTGCTGCCTCGTTAGATTTGCATACTGGTTGAACATTAGTGTGAGGCCTCTGTTGTAAAAAGAAACTGTGGGCCAGTTTATTTCAGCCGGAAGTAATAACCACTAACCATATCAAAAAACATGTTGGCTGCAGCAGCTCTGTATAAAAAAGAATAAGAAATTATGTGTAACAAATGTTCAGGACTAAGGCATTAGTATCTCACTCTGTGTATTATCTCATGGCAGCCTAACGAGGATGTAACGTATGCCTCTATTGACCACGGCCCTGGCAAAGGATCAAGAACAACTAGAGCTACTACTGACGATGATTGTGACTATGCAACAGTTAACGTCCCAGCAGCGCTTCAACCTAAAACCGAGTCTGAGTGCTCGTCTAAAGAAGAATGTGATGACGATTATGTACTCATGGGTTAAATAGAAACAAGAAGAAAAGCTCATTCAGTCTATTGCAAGATGCAGGACTTACAGATAACCTTCATTCTAATATTTTGTAACGGCATTCAAGAATTTGTTTGCAGTTGGACTGCGACATTTCCAGTTTAACTCTTAAACTCTTCAATCAAGAAACGGTGACAAAATGAACTCAACAGCAGCTGGTTGTGAAAAAGCCAAGCCCCAAGATGTTTTTTTCTCTACTTTGAGGTAAATTCAAGCCTGAACACAACTGTAGTGTTCCTTCCTCAAGAGGACAAAAATGCGACGCATTTGACCTCTTCACAGAAGAAACTCAACCTCAGGAGGAGATTCTGTAGCTCTTTAGTCTAATATGCCTGGATTTCTAAAACATTGTGACATTAGCACATTATTTGGAATAAGTAAGTCAAAGGAAGCTAGACTTGGTGTTTGGCTTGGGGAGTTTTTGCCAATCACACAAAAGGAATGGACAGTTCTGAACATCTTCAGGAACAGCAACGGCTCCAAAATCCTGCAAATCCAGCAGCTTCTGATACACACTATATGTCACACCATGACCTAAATGACAGAATCCACTATGTGTCAAACATTTATGTGATTATAGCATCTTCTGCAAACTTCTGACAGCATACATTTTGTTTTTATTTGTAAATATTGGTGAACATGATACAGTGATGATACGTGTATATACTAAAAATAAATTCCTAAAATGTTGGCATTAGCAGATTCTTAGCAGGTTTTTAGTGTGTAGTGTGTTCACACTGGAAAAGTGACAAAATAAGTTTACTCAAAGCAGACAGAATGCATACTAAATCTATACTAAATGTCCTTTTCACAGTTTAATTGGCATTCAGCCCTGCACGTATTGTGTTATTTCCTGTTAGCATAAAATGGTGAAGTATTTTTTTTGTATACTGACTAAACAGTATACTATAATAATTAATACGTAATACATAATATATAGAATTAGTATGTGGAATGAATTTTGGACATAGCTTTGGTGTTCAGACATGAGGAATATTTGCACATCATGCAAGAGCATGTTCAGTTCAGAACATCTCCAACAGTAACGTCTTCAAAACACCAAACCCAGTAGCTTCTGACAAACTACATGATCTGATTGACTGAGAATCTTAATGTGTCAATTTTTTCAATTATTTTGATGGCATCCATTTTTGTTATAAAGACAAAAGTTTTGTCTTAAGTCTGTAACTTTCAGCTTTCAACAGGTGTGTGTGCTGCAAAAGTGGTCAAACTTTTTTTTACCATGACAGCAAAAGAACAGCTCTGTTACCGTCTAACAGAAAGTTGACAGTGAAGTGACTTCGTAGTCAGGTTGGCTAATTTGATTACATCTGCTGTCATTCTAAGTTTGATCTTTATCTCTAGTCTGTTTTGGTTGAAACAGACGCAACGCCTTTCTCCACCTTAAAAACCAAAGAATGTCATGTTTATATAATTGTGTCCACAATATACCGTAATCTGCTTTTCAGTTTGTGCTCATTTTGCAACATAGTGCCCCTGAGAACTGCTGCACACCACCCTAAAATACTACAAATAGGCTTGAGAATGTATATTTTTTACGTTTTGTATGTAGGAAACATTTTTGTCTGCCTTTATCTACCTTTAGGTTTATTTATACGTTTGACTAGATGCATATGAGTTGCCTTTGATTCATTGTGGTTTAATTGATATTTTTAATTGATTAAAACTTTACAGAATACCAATACTTTTGTTCATCATTCTGTTGTAATAATCAACTGCGTCACTGAAAAGATTTGAAAGGTAATGATCCCCTCAGTATGGTTCTTTGCTACATTACAGAGAGGAAATCATCATGTTAATGTGTTCACCAGAAAAGTGAAAGATTAGAGACTTCAACTGTGTCATGTTTCCTCTTTTTTTTCCATAAACTATGACCATGTCAACTAAATAGTCAATGTGAGGGTAACACTAATTATAGTTGCAGTAGCGTGGGGTTTAATAGCAGAATTCAAACAGGACGTCTAGACCCTGGCTGTCTATTTGTTTATTCTTTTCAGCAATACTAGATTTAAGTGTGTTATTAGTATTATATAGACATCTTATCATGGACTGTTATACAGCGCTGATCATGATGATGAACTATGTTTTGATCTGCACCACTAGATGGCAGAACAGGTATGGTTAGGGTAGGGCTCCACATCCTCCATCTGAAAAAATACAGAGAGGCTAAACAAAGTTTAACAGTGTGCAGTAAAACACACAAAGCTGCAGAGTTACAGAAAGATTACCCACCAGTGGGGATCTGGATGGTGAGGTGTCGTCGGACTGCTGGAATCACCTGGCAAACAATAAACACAAACTAGCTCAGTGACTCAATAAAAAAACAACAACTTGCAAGTAGTCATTGTTTCATCAAATGAAAATTAGTACCTGAACATTACTGGTTTCTTTTGTGCAAAAAATAATACTCCTGTCAAAAACGCAATGATCACCACAACAATAAGGACACGCAGCCAAGAAACATACCCTGCAGAGAGAGTGAAGATTAAAGGTTTGTTAATAATCTGCTGGGCATCATTGCAACACATCTATTTATAAATTTATAATGACCACTATAATATAAAACCGCTAATGTTGACTCAAAACACATACATTAACTATGTGTTTAAACCTACTGCTTCTGCACTAAACCCAAAGCTTAAATCTTTTTCTCTACTGCTATCCACTCTGCAAAACCCGACCTTTTTGGAGCTCCGGTACCAAAGTCTTTTCCCCTTTCCAGTATGGGTGCCTGATCACACAGCTCAGGTTAACTGTATCCATTCCCTCTGGAAGCTCCAGAAGACTTTCTACTGTATAAAATCCACGTGAGTCAAGCAATGTTTCCACAGTTGATGAGTTTCCCATATGACTCCAGCTGATGTTGGCAGCAGGTATTCCACTTTCAGCTTTGCACACTGCCACCATCCTGTTGTCCTTGCGTTCTAACCAGGCTGATATACTGGGAGGAACTGAGCAAGGGAAGACAAACCAGGAGAAATTAAAATAACTGACTACTTACACCTAATAAGTAAATGCACATTTAGTAGTTTTAATCTGCTTGCCTAAGTTTTACTACATTAACTATACAATAGTTTCAGATGATCACTGTTGACAGTAAGATCAGTACATTATCCTGAGTCACTTTTTCAGAGACTTTCACAGCAGCAGGAAAGAAATCCCATCATTATTCATTGTGAAGTTGCTATGTCAAAATCCAGACAAGTAAAATAACAACAATATCTGCTTTAAGACATGTAACTAGAGGTAAGCTGAATTTCTTGCTTAAGTTTAATTTGGTTAAAACTACACATGCTGTATTAAAAGTTAAATCCACCCAAAAATGTACTTGCACTTATACCTAATAGTACCTAATTATGCAGATTAAGTAGGTTTAATTTGGTTGCCTAAGTTTGACTATTTCACTATTTATTACATATAAACCTGTTCCAGATGAAAGCTGTGGACAGTACAGTTGGTGTGTTATCCAGAGTAACAGGTACATTGTGTCAAGAAATTACATTCCATTATCCCCACTTGTGTAGTGAAATAGATATTTTAAATCTAGGCAAGCAAACTATCTGCAGTAACAAATGTCATTAGAGGTAAGCAGATTTTGCTGTTTTATTCAGTTTTCTGAGTGTGATTTGGGTGAACTGACACTAAGAAGTGAACTTTATTAATGGTTTTTGAAATAATCTGTCCTTATGAGGAGAAAGGTCCTACCTGTTATAGCCACGTGGATCTCATAATTTTCGTTTAGTCTTCTGTAAACTGCCTCACACTTGTAGACCCCCACATCATAATCTGAGAAGTTTGGGATGTGCAGGTATGACTGAGCACTGGATGTGTTTCGAAGTGACTTTCCATCTTGGCAGGAGTCATCGCTTCGGCCTTCATTGTCAAAGGCTATCTTACATTCTTCTGAATTGTATTTCATGTCTATTGCCCAGATGACATACATCATCTCATTCCATGTTTTATTGCTGCATGTCAGGTTAACATCACTCCCCACATTGAAAGCTTCATTTCTGACAACTGAAAAAAAGAAAAGTTGCTTTATTTTTGGACGTAGTGGTGCAATGATTGATCAAATGGTTTGATAAGACAATATCCACAGTACGCATGCCCTAATATACACAAAAAGCTTCATAAAGATTAAATTCTGTATGGCAAAAGGCCATGCAAAGACAAAATCAAAAAGAATGAAAAAATCAAACTATAAATCGCATGTAACACAGACAAAATATAAAGATAACTTTAAATATGAAGCATGACATTATAAAATAAATCATATATATACTTTTTGACTATAAATATATCCCCATACAGAAATATGTTGCAGAAAATTTGTCCCATGAGGAAACCTATTTATCATTTATTTTTGGATTAAACATAGCTCAGTCTAAAATTAAAATATTTCAGATTCATTTAAAATAATCTCAAACCCAATAAACTATGATCTTTAAGAACAATTATGCAAGGCTAAGATCTACTAAATAAAATTTGCTTTTGCAATATTTTTTTCAAATTGGCAAACATTTGGTATAGTGTCTTAATGTTTCATAATTACACTACAAAATAAAAAAATAAAGACTAAATCTCTCTTCTTGAAAATATCTTGATTTCATTGAAATTAGTTTACCATAAAGTTTAGGAGAAGAAGATGTGTCGGAGTTCGCAGAGATGGTTTGATTAGTTCCTAAGAGAGATGGAGGTGGATGTAAGGGAAAAGTTAGTAAGCCAGTCAGATCTTCTTCCGTCAGAAAGCAGCAGTTAGTGATTCATCATCAAGTGTTCAATCAGCAGAGCAACAATCAAGGTGATTTATCTGTCATTCGTTATTTTGTTTAGTTAGTTAAGTTAGTTAGATGTGGTGTGTTTAAAAGTAGGTTCTACAATTAAAAGCGGCCTGACATGACCAGCTGCAGCAGGGCTAAATCACAGAAAATGCATTATTAGGTGAAGAAAATAGTTTGAGTTTTTGTAAGCCAGCAACTAAAACATTGGTCTGGATTAAGGAAATCAGTGACAGCAAAACCTAAACATATAAAACAAGCAAATGTTATTGGCATAATCTCCCCCATTTACTTGTCTACACTGTAGAAGAAGCTCATGACATTATTGCTATTTCAAAGAAATGAATTGGAAAATTCACAGTTCATTGGGCATTTTCACAGCAGTGTGATGGGGGTCTGAGACTTGTTTACTTTTGACACAGGTATAAGCAAAACACAATGTGTGAACTGGGGTAGCGAAACCACAGACTTCAAACAGAAGGTTCCCTTTCAGAGACCCCAAAGAGGAAAAAAATCCTCTGATCTGAAATGATTGTGCTGATCAAATGGATTGGGTTTATACAACGACAAAAACTTAAAAAATAATAAAAACAATATATATATAAATAGCATGTTACATAGATCAAAGATAAAGTTAACTAAGCATGAAGTACGACACAGGAATAAAACTCAGTTATAAAATAAATCATATAGTTGCTTTATGTTTATTACTGTAAATATCACCATATCATTGAAGATTTGTCCCACGAGGAACCTACTTATCAGTTATTTTGGAATAAACATAATAATTACATTTCATTTGAAATAAAGTGAAGAATGTAATTTTGTATTAATTAAGTGACAAATATTTGGCATAGCCTCTTAATATTTCTCAATGACATTACAAAATAAACTAAAATATTGACTACACCATTTCAGTGCAGAAATAACTTGTTTCAAAACTTTTTTTAATTCTTTAAATTCATTTAAAAAGAATATTAAGGAAACACTGCCACACATGCTATACACTCTACATCACTGAGGTACTGGTTCCAACACACTGCATTTTTTTGGGTAAATACGTATATTACTTGCTCCTGTTGTATCCCTCCTTGTCAAATTCTTTGGGGCCGGCTGATTCATTCTGACGTGTTTAATCAGCATAGTAAGAATCTAGGAGGCCTTTCTGTTATTCACTATTTAGTTTAGTTAGTCAAAGTGGCAATCCTTATATAAATCCTTATATATACTGTATATCCTTTCATTATGATTTCGTTGATTTGGCGACACCTACTGTTACTGGTGGTGAATACGGTTCAACATTACAGCTCACAGAATTCTGGGGGCAGCAAACGCAAACTATTGTCGTTTTGATAAATAAGTCAGGCAATAATTGGTCTTTCGTTCCTCCATCATTCTTAGAGCAATCTGATTTTATGCTGCAGTGCACACAGCATGAGTCTACGAACAGCAGGGCACAATGAAAGGAGTTGTTACCTCTCTGAGAAGTTGGAGGTGTGCAGCCTTTCCCCTGCAGCTCTAACAGCTCACGGGGGGCTGCTCCTGACTGTATCATTATTTCCTGCAATATTTCAAACTGATTCGCTGTCAAAAAATGTCGAAAAGAACGTTTTGTTTTGCAGACGCATCTTTGATTAACGATAGCGCTCACTGTCAAAGAAGCTCACAAACACATTGCATTTCCAGCGGCTACTTCATAATAAAGGTGAACTCGTGTTTCTCCAGTTAAATGCTTTTAATGTGAAGCTGCCCCAGTAGGACGTGTTCGGTTTGCATTAGCAGTAACTTAACACAGCATTTCTTTTTCCGGGAATGTGACACCCACTGTATATGCATACAAGTTGCAATGCTTTCATCTGTGGGCCTAGAGGCCTGGACTCAATCACAGTTGTTTCCTCATTTGGCGATAGATAGGCCTCGTGACATACCGAGACATTTATTTAAATTAAAATCTTCCACTTTAATGTAGTTGTGTTTTAAAGGTGTGATTAAAACAGCAGGGCTAAATCACAGACACTTGTGAGAGAAACTGCATTATTTAGTGAAGATTTGTTTTCTTTACCTTTTGTAAGTAAAAACACTATAGATATATATGTAATAAAACGTAAATATAAAAAACAGGTAATGCTATTGTCATAATCTCCCCCATTTACTGTCCATAGTGTAGAAGAAGCTCATGACATTAGCATAGTTATTTAAGAGAAATGAATCGAAAAATTCAGTTCATTGGCTGGTGTTTACTGAGGGTAGACTACCCTAATATTATTAGCTATACTAATTTTATTTATACCTCATATATTATAAGACTATGATAGTAGCCTATAGGCTACTAAATAATTACAACGTAAGTTGCGGTCAGTAACCTAAAGCCTTATTGTTTTCTCCTGTTAATAACTCCAGTCAATTTAAAAGTGCCCCATAAGTCACATCACAAGATAAAAGAGTCTAATATGCTTACCTGGAGCTCTTCCAACGATGCAGACAAATGTAAAAGAGCAAAATATCAGCATATAGGTGTAGGGCAGTCTATCCATTTGGCTTGACAAGTTCATTACATGAAACTTTACAGATGATCTAAAACTGATGCTATTGCAAGTGCTCATTTCCCTTTTGACAACCTCACCACCGGACTTCCTACACTCTCAGAAAATAAAGTACATAATTGTACCTTTAGGGGTACAATGGCTTGTCACTGGGGCTGTACCCTCAAAGGTACAGAAAAATTGGCTTTGACAGGGTAGAATCGTTGACTATGAGATTTATAATCTATCTATTTATATATCTCTCACACACACACTGAATTAAAATCAGAATTTATTAAATCCTTTTCATTTTCACATTTTACATTTCATTTTAAACACAATGTCTAACTGACAATTGAGTAGGTGTCATTTGCCTGAAAGTCCATTTCAGTAAAGTCCATTCTTTATCAATCGTGACACTGAATGCATGAAAGTGACAGTCATAGGACAGAGGAATCAACATTTTTCCACAAAGGATCCACATGGTGTCTATGTTAAAGATGTACTTGATTTGCCAATACAATGGAATGCGCCCAGAATGCAGTACAACTATGACAAATACATCTCTGACAGCATACTTCACATTGTTGACTGTTACTTCAGACACACAGATAGCTTTCTCTGTTAAATCTACATCACAGAGGTTGTGATTAACCATCGGGGCTCTCTGTAGCTCCACAGGTAAAAGAAAAATGTAGAGAGAAAAACCACCTCCCATTGTCATTTCAAGAAGAAATTGTTGATAATGTTAATTTTGTAGAGAACAACGGTGTGGATTTGTGCATTTTATATTGAATAAATTTGGAGCTAGTCCAAATTCCTCTCTCCTCTCCCAGGGATGTTAAAGATCAACTTCAACAGACTGCTGGGGAGACCCTAACGGAAGGGGGGGATTAGCATTTCCCTGAACTGCCTATCAAAAGTGGCCCCCTCACACATGTAACCGTGGTAACTGACCTTGCTATGTGTTTCATTACCCCATCAAAGGGATAATTAAGTTTAATTAAATCTTTAGTTACTTGATTACGTTTGCCTCTATTTGAGTAGTTATGTTAACATGTTGTTGCTATCTGTTGTTGATATTAGTACTGAAAAGAATCTAAATAAGTTACTTTTGCAGTGTTTTTATTTTCAGCAAGACACTCCCTCATCTAATGGAATCAGTGCTTGTTCATAATACTTTCTTACAAAATTCCTTTAGAAATGATGATAAAGGAATGTTTTACTATACTCAGCTTGAATTTAAGGATGAATCAACAATATTCCCCGGTTCCTAAGGAGAGATGATCTTGGATTAATCAAAGCTTTCCTCATGTAACCTGAGCTCCCCCAAGTGGACGACATAAGTATTACATACCGTCGTTGGAAATGCTGTTTAATGTATAAATATCCTGACCAATAATGTGACAATTGTTTCCTTTACCAAATGCTTAACTTAGAACGGTACAACTGTTTGACCATTGAGGTTCGATTGTGGAAAATATTTGATTATAATACGCGCAAATAGATTTCTTTTCCTTTAGACATTAAGTTTAGAAAGGCAGTCCCTCGGGAAACCTGAAACGCCCTCTGGGGAACCACGCCCCAGGCAACAAAAGAGCGACACGTGACGTTGTTAGCTCTCTTCTCTTCTCTTCTTGTCTCTTCCCTGCTCTCTGGATGCTTCGGCACGCGTCCGGCATGCCTCGCCAGGCAACGTCCTCAGAGTCGGCCAGCGAAACAGGCCTTTTGTTCGCTTGAAGCTACACACGCGAAGTGCCGCGACATCGATCTGCCCCTCAGTTTGTTTTATTCTCTTTCTTTCTTTTGTTTTGTTTTGTCAGCTAGTGTGGGACCCATGCAACAGGCCAAAGCAGGCCGTCGACAAGCCGTAAGACCTAACCAACATTCTGTGGTCAGAGATGTACCGAAATGTTAATATTTCCTTTTAACTCCTAAAAACGTTAGCTTACTTTCATTAGTTCTCCTCTGCCGTATGAGTCAAATGCATCCCACAATCGAACCTCCATTTCTCATTGTTCAGCAATTGTTTATTTTGCCTGTATTTAACCACCTTTTATATCGCATTAGTTAGAGAATAAATTCACTGTAATATAATCAAGAACTGTGTGTGTTGCCTATTTCTACGTCCCTGCCAAGAGAATTGACCCTTAGATATGAGACTGACTGATTGATTTAAGATAATTGAGCGATTATTAACTAACTGATCACTAGTAATAATTGTATAATTATTAAAAGCTACCTAGAGGTCCGGAGACTCTAGGATTATAACAACTCCGGTGGTGCCCTGAAACGAGGAATATTGTTGATTTTTATGAAAATTAAAATTCATAATTGGGTATTAATTCTCATAAATTTATTAAAATGCATAACTAAATTAGGTATGCTACAATTTCTTACTGTGTTTTTTTAAGGAGAACTATGATGCTTTTATAGCTTACCACCTGCAGAAAAGTGGTTTTGACATGTCAGAAAGTCCAGAACTGAAAAGGGTTATACATTCTAATGATTTTTTACCGGCACTTTCTCAGATTCACCCAGCAGACTCCCACAAAACACCCAGCACTGTCTGAGCTGGTGTCTGTTGCTCAGTGTTGTAGCTATGTTGGGCCCCTGCGTTTGCTATGGTGCATGAGATTTGAGGCCAACCACCAATATTTTAAAATGGTGCCCATAACTGCAGAAATTTTGTAAACATTTTCCTCTCTACATTTCAGAAAAGTTTTTTTTTAAATTCTTTAACAGCTCATCCATACATGGAGGATTTTCAGTGACAGGTATGTCCTAGGCTGATCAAAATCTTCATCGACTATCTCAGTATTTCCATTGTCATCGTCATTGTCAGGACGTAAAACACGGTCTGTGTGTTTTCAATATACATGTTGCCTAAGACTCATATTTTTTAAATGTTGACTGGCAGTCATTAGTCCACATGCAAGTCCTGTGTGCTGAATTAGTTTCATCAAGGTGAATGTCCTCCTGGAGCATTTGGAGCACTGTTATGGATGAGGCATGGTGGAGTCAGTAGAGGAGATTTATTTGCCAGTTATTAGCAGAGGCTGTCCACAACTGTTTTGGCAATGTACTTTTGGAGAAACAGTATTCTTCAGATGTCTTGGATATGCAAGACTGAACACGAAGTATGTGCAGAAGGCTGAGATGATTCCTTCTTTCATTCCTCGATGTGGTCCACTTTCAGAATGTTTGGAGCTCTCCTGGCAAAGGCCATTTTCCAGTCTCAGTCGGTCAACTGAATAGTTGGGTACTGCCTGTCAAGATCAGTCTATTCAAAGCCAAAAGGAAAAAAGCAAATTAACCTGACAGTTTTACCATTTGGTGAAAAATATGGCATTATGCTTATTTTCAGGTTCAAAATCTTAATTAGGGTTTGTACCAGAACAGGTTTACATGGTTTAATTTTCCAAAAACACCATATTTTTCTCATACTGCACATTGCTGCAGCTCCTCTTTTCACCCTATGTGTTGTACTCTCCGCTCTTGAGCTACAGAGTGATGCATCTTACTTGTACAAAATCTTTGTTGGGAGTTGCATATGCGCAGTTCCCAGCTAAGGACTACTAGCCAATCAGAAGCAGAGAAGGGCGGGTCGTAAGAAACAAGGTAGTGTGATCCAAATCAAAGCCGCTTCAGACTGCGACCTTAACCTAGCAGATGGTATAAATTATTACCAATCCACAACCACACAACATCATTGTTCCACATCTTACCATTAGGACTAAACGTTGAACTGTTGCCAGTGTTCTGACGATCTGTGCTGCCTTGCTGAAAAATGCTACCATAGCGCAAATCGATAGACTCGACTCTACTCGGCCCTGCTCCGTTTTCCATTGCAGATAGTACCAGAGATAGTACGTAGCTTGTCGTCATAGCGACGCTACACACAACAGCCGCGAAATAATGTTCAAAGCAACACACACACACCAGCGATCCAAACAGCTCTCTTTGTCAAAGGCAGGGTAGGCAAGTTGCTTCTAAAACACTTTTTGTCATTATATACACCAATACATATTAAAAAGGTGTTCTGAAAAAGAGAATATAAAAATCGGCTGTCTGTAGTCCTCTCAGGGCTGCAGTAAACACAGCCACTCGTTCCATTCGGACCGAATGCAATGATTGGCTGCCTGTCATTCTCCCTCACTGCCATGGCTACCAGCACTGCTGCTACAGGAGCTGCCCCCATGCGCGCACGCGCTCAAACCTGACGAGCGAAGCGGTCAGATCGGTGGGTGTTATCTGCATGGCTTTTCAACGATAGTGACAACTGAGGAACACCGAGGGGCTGACACAGCGTGGTGGCTTTATTTCTGCTGGACAGGTAATCTTGCTTTTATCATTTTGATGGTAATTTGTTACTTTCATCACTAGCAAACGTAGCTACTGTTGCGTTTTTTCAGATTTTGAGAAAGGAGAGGCTCAGTCCAATGAAAATTAACAAAAAGATTTAATTACAAAAATTTGTGAATAAAGAGATGGCATTACAGAACAAACAAATAACACTGCAGTGGACTGAAAAGTTGGTCCTCCGTTCAGATTTACAGCTTTCAGTCAAGTCCGAACAGACTGAGCTAAAGCCGCCTCCAGCAGTGGACTGAAAAGCTGCTTCTCCTCCCAGACCCACAGCTTACAGTCCTGATTCTCACAAAATAAATTGTTAATATCCTCCAGGTATGTGGGCGGGTCCATTTTCCTCCAAATGGCTTAGGTCCATAGCCATTGGTCCTCACCCAATTGGGAAGGGTGTACCTTACTGTTCTACCTTTTGGTCGAACAAAAGAGCACCGATCCCAGACGTGAAACCCCGCTTCAATCTACAGGAATAAACAGTCTTTTGCTCTAAACTAATCATAGAGAACAACTGGGCTTGTCTCCAAAATGGTTGACACCTTGACCTATCTTAAGTGTCAATGAAACAGTCAAAACAAAACAGTCCTTCTGGCACTAAACAAAGAGGTGTCAGTTTTCTTCACATTACAAAGAGGATACAAACAATGGTTTAATCAACATTCTAATGCAATTGCCTGGCCTAAAATCCTGCAGTTTTACATTTGAAGAAAAACACTGAAACACTGGAATTAAGTTTGTTGTAACTTTTTAAAACTCAACACTACCTACTTAATTAGCATACAGCTAACTGTTGCTAAGAGTGCAGATATTTTTTATACAGTCTATGGTGCATAGGGGTGGGAGCCAGAGCAGAGACGAATTATATCTAGCTGTAGATGAGCTGGAAAACAGCAGCGCGACAATGTAAGTGTAGACTGCTGTTTAGTTATTCACCATATAGGTTTATTGTTATACTATGTTTACACCTAACTTTATGTTATCTTTACCTTGTATCTAATCAGTTTGTGAGATTATCTTGTGTCTGCAGTTGATGGTTTGACTGTATGTTACATTTACGAATGAGGTGATATAGCTGTGTGTTTGTAGTTATGAGAAAGACATTTCAACGTTAGTATACATAAAGAATGATGGCTAAAGGTCCCCAAGTATCTGTGTTTCTGGTATATAAGCTACCTATAATATAGTTTGACATTGTTCAGTGCTGTTAGCCTGGATTACAACCACCATATCCACAGTCCAGCCAGGAGAAAAGCTGATGACACAGTTCAGTATTTGCATTATGAGTACTCCTATGCATTTTACTCAATACATTTATATAATAAGTAAGTGATGAGTCAAAAAATATTAAACAGTATGAGGAATACAGATAGATGGTGCTGATTTATTGTTATTGATTGCATTTTATGTGGAAATGCTAACTACTCTATAAGAGAATAATGTCAGGTATTACAAACTTTTCACTAAGCTGATCCTCCTTTCTGTATTATCAGGTACAGCAAGGTGTACAACAAAAAGTTTAGGAGGTGGAGCCTGTACTCATTGAAGGTGGAGAAGGACTACAGTTACATCGCAGACCTCCAGAGTGTCATCCCCGTCCTCCGACGGTTGTCTGCTACTGAGGAGATGCCTAGAAGCAGAGCCAGGAGACCTGATGATCCCTGTCAACATAGGGTTCAGTCAGGTGTCCCTACCCCAACTGTTTAGCTAGATACAGCAAAATATAAATCAAAAAGTAATATGGTTGGTTTTTAAATGTGGTAATCATGTCAGAGAGGTGATATGTAACATAAGTGATATATATAATCATCTCCACAGCAGCGATATGATGCTACATGCAGTCTGAACTCATAATCAGTCAGGACAAAAATGATCTATTTGTGATATAGGTTGTAGTTTTAGTACTATTTAATAACAACAAACAAGTGTTATACCACATTTGGATGTCATTATTGGAGACATAAGATATACATGTAGTTGCTTTATTGTTTATGCTGCAAGTGTAAAGAAAAGGCATTTATCATTTTCAATGTTTTATTTAAAAAAAGAATGAAAATATTGTCCAGAACAGGAAAAATGTACTTTGTATTTTCTCTACCCTCCTGGGAATAAAACTAACAATGTACACATATTCATCCACACAGTGGATGGAATTATTTGTGTAGTGACATTCCATCGTACACCCTGCTAGGATTAAACCTCTGTATTGCCCTAATGGATCAGGAGAACAGTTGCATATCTTCCAGAAACAGCAACTCAGTATCACGACTCTGTGTCTAAGTGCTCCACATTGCCACATTACAAACTGTCTGTTTGCTGCCTGACTGAACTGTCTGTTTCTCTGTCCTGGGTCTGGAAGATCAGCCATGTGTGGTGCATGGAAACACAGTAGTCTGGATGTTTCATTCATCAACAAGATCAGCTATTTTTATTGAACAGGGGCTTGTTGTTCTGTAACAGGACTTCTGTGTCTACATTACACACCAGGTCAATGTACATGACACAGATGAGCTGATGGCTGAAGCAGAGCTGTAGCTGTTGTAATCAGTAAACAATAAATAAGTAATAATAGTGATGATTACATAGCACTTTATTTTTGACACCCACAGGGTTTTGGGACACTAGGAAATAACAGACTAATATTAAATTACATATATACAGGTATATATACTTTTCAGTTGGCCAACATTTCTAAAAATCCCTTTTTTGTATTGGTCTTAAGTAATATTTGAATTTTCGGTGATACTGAATTTGGGATTTTCATTAGTTGTCAGTTTTAATCATCACAATTAAATGAAATAAACATTTGAAATGTATCAGTCTGTGTGTAATGAATGAATATAATATCCAAGTTTCACTTTTTGAATGGAATTACTGAAATAAATCAACTTTTTGATGATATTCTAATTATATGACCAGCACCTGTATACACACCGATGGAAACAGGAAAATGTGTATCAGCCTGTTTTTAGCTTTGCCCAATGTTACCGCAGCTGTTAGCACAGATACCTGTTGCTAACAGTTAGCTAGCCAGCTTGTTACTGAATCAAAGTCAGTCTTTTTAAACCTCCGCTCGTCACACTGTGCTCGTCCTCCGGCAGAGTCGGCAACACACGTTCACGTGCTTTGGGGGCGTGGCTTTGAAAGGAGCCCAGAAGGGAGGGGGTGGGAGTTTCTCTGTTGGATACTTTCAAAAATCAGGTAGTTTCTTGCTAGTTTCTCAAACTTACCCACCCTGCCTTTAAGTTAAAACTTCTCGCTTCTTGTAAAACTGTCAATATTCGAAATCTACACAGCTGATTTCACCTCAAAACTTCTCAGAAGTGGATTTAGTGATGAAATTACATACGAAAACTGTAAAATATAAAACTTTCTGTTGCTGGCCTCTGTCTGGTGCAGCAATGATGATGCAGTGAATAGTGAATATTCTCTCTAACCAATCAGCAGTCTGTCGTGTTTTCACGTTACATTTTAGTATCCCTCAGCTCGCTTGGAACCTCGATGGAGGTGAGGTGATACGAAAAAAAGTACCTGGAAGCAGGTACAGGTACAACATTTCTACTATGGAGTCAAGCCAAAGGGCCTCCGCTCAGACTAGCTTGGTTTGAGGGCGTGCCTGACCCCGTTAGCCGCTTGGCAAGCTTTATGACGCGTTTTCATTGTGACATCACAAGTAAAGGAAGTGAAGGGCTGGACTACAAACTAGCTGTTTTCAAGCGGTTCAGAGCAGAGCTTTCTGTGGGAGATGGGAACTCCCTTTGGGCTGGACTTTGGGCTTTTTCACTTTGCAAACCTGTTACATGCACAAAAAAGAGATATAACTCAATAAAGGAGAGGGAAAAAGCCAAAAAGCATAATACCACCTCTTTAATACCTCACAAATCTGGTAAAGAACAAAAGGTTAATCCATTCTGACATTTTGCACTTGCTCTTTAAGGAGGAATGTGAGGCTGTTGTGATGTTGTTCAGTGATAAAAAAAATAAAATAGCAATAATTAGCATTGTGTTATTGGGTAGATACTCCAGATTGCCAAGCACATGCATCATCTACTTTCTTTCTTTACACATTATATGCTCAAATAGTAGTTTATAATTAGATTGTGAATATATTCTGATGTGCTGTGCAGACAGCTAGTAAATTAGATTTTGTTTTGGGTGTTCATTTTACACAATTAGAGTAAAATTTTATTTTTTATTGTGCTTATGTACTCAATAAACTTCTGCCTTTTCCTTTCACACAAAAACAGATATGAATTGCTGTTTAAACTGGATTTAAGCAAGAACTGATGATTCTAAAGTAAGTTAACAATGGTGGAAGACAAAAAGCAATAGGACCATCCAAGTCTTCAGCGTAGCAACTATGATGAGGTGATCAGCTTCATTACCACTTTACATACCACTTAAAAGAAATGAAACATTTAAAAGTGGATTAAGTATTCCTTTAAGTAGAGATATGTAGTATTAACAATGTGATTTTCTTTCTCAGTATCAGTACGTTTGTCAAGTGTATTTGGTGTTATGGAGGTGAACAAAAGAGATCTGAGCAAGCAAGACATACCTCTCCAAGTGTAATAAAGCAATCACTGTAGTCCTTGAAGATGTAAGGTAGAAAGATGAGGGGTGCCCTAAAGTCAATATCTTCAAGACATAACATATACTTGATATTTAAACACCATTTTTCTAATTCAGAAGCATTCCAGGTAAATATGAAAGTCATCACTATGCATTTGGTCCAGTGTAGATGTCAATTTCAGGTAAGCAATTTCAATATAAAAGAGGATTTTCCCACAGAACTTGTGCAAATTGAGTGTTAATTAACACCTTGTCAATTGAAGTACACCGTTTCATGACATAGGAATAATAAAAAATCTAAAATAGAATTAAAGACATATTAAGGCCCACAACTTGGAAACACTGGTATAGGCATTAACATTTAATAAATACCTGGAAGATCCTCAGTGAGAGCTTCTTCTTTTGTCTCCAGGTAAAGTGGAATAGTGGGGATTTCCCTTGAGCTAGGTGAAGCACCTTTGGTACAATACATTTGAAGCCTTCATTGAATCGCTGATACAAGTTCCCTGTTGCTGGATGGATACGTTCCAACACATCGCGCAACTACAGAAAAAAAACCCCATTAAGCTTTATTCCGTATCAGAGTTCATGCAGCTTGATACTAATCTAATAAGCAGCTACTTAATGGCATATGGAAGATATGTGACATTTGTATGTAGACTACATGTTAGTTTTCATGCTATAAAGCAATTAAAATTTGAATAATTTATTTCCACTGTCACATTTTGAATGATTATTAATAACATTTCAGTTACATAATAGTTTTTGCTTGCTTATTAAGTACAATATATTCACCAAGTTTGACCCAATAAATTCTTCCCTGTCATGAAAGCTTCACCAGGAATGTACTGCTAAAGTACTGTACTGTTAAAGGTGCACACCACACACTTGTTTTGGTTTCTTCCACAAAGCAGCTGGCTAAAAAGTGTGCCCAAAACTATTGCACACATGTGGTTGTGCATCCTTCATAACAATTTCCAGCTTAAAATCAATGGTCGATGTCATCGGTGGGTGTCCTTAGGAAAGGGTACTTCTTAACTGTGTCCTCTACAGTCATGCCATCAGCAATCTCCTTTTGCCGCCATGCAAACATCTGCTGCATTTGGTCCCGTAAAATCCTGAAGTCAGGTTGCATCTTCTGGTACTGGCTATGCAAGACCTTCACGTGAGCCTCAATGGAGGATGGATCAACACAACACTTGGTGCCTTTATGGGAATTGAAAAAGAGAGAGAGAGACATACACTTACAAACACATCTGACATAAAACTAAACACTAAATTGTCTTGTCTGTGTAGTTCAATTGAGTGAACCAATGTTCTATCAATATGATTGAACTGACTTGACCAACCTTATAACTGATAACTACAAAACTGTGAAAAAGAAAATATGACAGACACATTAACCAACTAACAATGGCTACAAATTAACTAAGCCTCATTTATTACCAATGCACCAAGCTGGGCATCACTGACCTTGAACACATTTCTCTGATTGGACCTTGCTGTTTATACAAGTTGCTTTGATTTTTTGTGGCCAAACTTCTCCTTACTACCTCTCACTTCACTGTTGTCAACAAGAGGTGCACGCTTCCACTAGAATTTACGCCTCAGAGACATGTGCCATGTATGCTAATTGAAACAGAAATATTGATTACCAAAGACAGCTATACCATAGTTGTTTGCACTAAATAACAAACAGATAACTGTTATTCCTATTTAGATTGAAGATAATACTAAATAATGTTGCTTAGTTTTTTCCTTTTATGACAGACCTGCACATAACATATAGAAGATAATGTTGTTCATGTTAAAAATACTGTGTAGTTATTTGCAAATGCACTTACATAACCATTTCCCTTGAGATCCTTCAGGAAAGGATATTTCACAATCAGCATTTTTACAACTTGAACATATTCGGAAGTTGTGGGATACCTACATGAGAAGAAATGTAAATCAATTGAAGGCCACCTGCCTTGAAATAATCATGCACCAGGACAAACTCCATCCATTTATTTTGTCAGCATGAATTTTGTTTCATGGGGCAAATATGATCTAAAAAGACTTCAGTAAAATATTCCAGTTACACCTATAAAAATATTTTTCCCCCTAGGGAATTTAACTATTTCTGGTGGTTTCCTAGAATCAGATGAAATTTTAATGGAAGTAGAGATTAGCCTTAGCTCAACTGCTTCAAGGCTAGGTGACATCTCCTTACACATGAGGATTAACTTAATTTTTTAAAACTAGTTTAGGTGGATACATCACTGACATTCAAGTCTTGCGAATCACTGTATCGCTTTCCCATGTCTAACATTGCCTTCCACGCACTTACGTACATTGTGTATTGTGCCACAGCCTCATAGAGAAAGCGGATTATTTTCTGGCATGGTTCTTTGTTGTCTAGCTTTGTTTGTAGATGTCCACATCATTATCTGAGAAAAAGTAAACAGAGGGATATGAAACAGCTGTACACTTGACTAAAAAGTAATCCAAACAAACTGAAATAATTTGACCAGCATATAATAGCAACATTAGCTTTGAGGCCAATGCCCACGCTAGGTTCTCGTACGTTTAACTAAAATGTGTCATACAAAAACCGAATTCATTCAGAATAGGCGCAGACACAATGAGAGAAACACAGAGAGAGAGAGACTAGCGACAGGAGCATAACGTTATAATAGAGGCTAGCAGTAAAGTTAATACCGTGAACCATGGTGTGTGCGACGGAGACAGCTAATTTACCCCACAGTCAGTGAATGACGTACACTTGAGACCTAAGCTAAGCTCCCGTGTGTTGCTAACCAGCAACTGACAGCCCTGATGCTAGCGACAACTGCGGGACAAGCTCACCTAGGCTTACAGATAGGATGCAATGTGCGCTGCGCTCACACCGCGACAACGGCACCGCTGCGCTATAAAACCCTTAAGTTAATTTCCATGTCTTGCGTCGCGCAAGGACGGTGCATCGACCGACGCCAGAGAAGTTTTAATATCAGAGAAAAGCTACTTCAAAAATCCTCATTAACGTTACATAGCATAGGGAGAGCCCGTAACACCAAAGATAGCGATTTCCCCACCCCTCCCGTAAGAAAGACAATCGTCTGCTTTTAATAGCAGTGACTGGTAACCTAGTAACGCTAACTTAAGCCACTCGTGCGGTTCCACTGACGGAAGGGTCTAATAAGGAAAAACGCTTTTTAAACGTTAATTTGGGACAAAAACATAAAGACTGAATATTTTTTAAAGTATTATATATTTTAGTATTTATAATAACGCTCTTTTATACTGAGAAAAGAGGTGGATGCAAATCTCGGTAGGTAGCCTACAACATCCGTTTTGCCGAATGCATTCATTTTTTAAAGGTCTTTTTCAGACACTTTACTGTTCACATTGTTTGAATGTGGTTAATGCCACATGTTTTTGCTGAATCTCAAGAAATGGTAGGCTACTTTTACTAAGTTTAATAATATATTATCGATTGTTAACGTTCATTAAATATATGCAGATCAATTATCACTATAGATGAACCCCACAAAGAATAGTATAGCGTTTAAAAGCAGAACCTTAGCCCATTAGCTAGCTAACATTAGCCCAGTAGCTACCACAAATATTTTGTCAACTAAAATTGCATTTAAATAAAAACTTGCGAATCTAAGGGCTTCGACGCCTGATATTTTTGAAAGCCCTGCAACAACCATGAGTAACCTTGCTATGACTTCTTCTCCACCGATGGCCAAAAAAAAAAGAAAGACCGCGAACTGGACGTTCTTTTAAGTTGAGATTCAAGCAGCCAATCAGGGAGCTGGCAGTCTCAGTTCCAGCTCTCCAGTAAATTAGAGATAATAACATACTCAGGCTATGAAATACAAAAATGTTTCTTATAAAATACACTATAACAGTGAGAATCAGCCATTTGTGTGTTGTTTTTTATTTACATAATCAATATAATATCATAATTTCATCAGCTGGCGAATTGTATTATAATGATTTTATTTCAGCAAACTGACTTACAAAACTTTTTCTCATTAAAATTAAAATTAAAACAACAACCTTTACAAAATAAATGTGGCTTAGCATAGGCTGTCTCTTGATATTGTACTTTAACTTTTAAAAGAAACGGTACATATATGTACCTTTTTGACACTCAAAAGGCCTGTTCCAGGACCACCCTGTGTGTATTTTATTGTGTCATGAAATAATATAGTTTACAATGTGAAAATCACACATTGTGTATTATATCTGCAATTTAATTCTGTAAACACCTTAAAGAAATCCTTATTTACACAGATTCAGGTCATCCTCACCAAAATACAAAACAAACAAAAAAACAAGACAAATAGTTATTAAGGTTAATAAGTGGGCTTGCCACTTGATCATTGTAATTTGCACAAATTCACCATGTCAACCAACAACCTTGTCAGCAGTGGCTCAGCAGGAAGTTGTGACATCCTGGCTTCAAAGTCAGACTGGGGCCTTGGGTGCATATCGTTCCCCGGAGCAATGAAAAGGGGATTAAATATATACATTATATAGATTATTATAAATTTTATTCAATTAGCATTTTCTCTTTCAGGGGGTTCTGCACCAGACTGTAAAAGCAGCACAGATAATAAGGGAGACCTGGCCATATCAATGTTGAGTCTATTTTTGTTGAGCATAAATCTTCATCAGTTTCAGCTTTTCATGGGACAGGGGTGTGTTTCCATGCTTTTATGATAACCCAGTCAGAGGTGCTGCCTCGTTAGATTTGCATACTGGGTGAACATTAGTGTGAGGCCTCTTTTGTAAAAGAAACTGTGGGGCTGTTTTTTTCATCTGTAGGAAGTAACCACATCAAAAAACATTTTGCAACGTAGTGCTCCTGAGAATTGTTGCACACCACTTAAATGTACTACAAATAGATTTTTAGGGCTAGAGTATTCATATATTTTATGTTTTGTATGCGTATGCATAAATTTTTTGTCTTTAATTACCTATAGGATTCTTTTTGACTGGATCCATATGAAGTGGTAGAGCAGTGTAATTTACTGTACATTGCCTTTTGTTTCATTTTGGTTAAATTAACTAAAAGTTTACAGAGTACTCGTCTTCATTATTCTGTTGTATTGATTAAACCTTTGAAATAAAAAATATCAACTGCATCGCTGAAAACATTTGAAAGGAGTCATGGCAATAATCCCTTCAGTAAGTTTCTTTGCTACATTTCATAGAGGAAATCATCATGTTAATGTATTCATCAGAAATGTGAAAAACTAAGAAAGTCCAACTGTGTCATGTTTCCTCTTTTATGTTCAACTAAATAATCAATGTGAAAGTAAGACTACTTATGCTTACAGCATCCTACAGTTTAATAGCAGAATTCAAACAGGAAGTCTAGACCATGGCTGCGTATTAGGAGACTGTCGTTTTTGTCCCCGATCACCTACGTTGGAAGCACATTAAGGCTTCTCTTGATGGCCAGTATGAACAGGAGAAATTATCGGATCTCCACCAGTAGATGGCAGAACAGTCCCTCTCTCTAGTTTCCATTTCAATTCTGTCAGAAATGGGTTTACACTGATTATGAAAGTACTGAATATTCCATTACTCACCATTTATTTGGATTGTTCAGTGTTGATAAAAAGTTACAAAAGGTAGGCATTCAAACAAGTACATTTTGAGCAGAGATGTATTTTAACGTGTGCAATTACATACAAAAACATGAATACTTAATATAATAATGTCTACATTATCTTGAGACACTTCTGTGACTAAATTACACCTGTTCTCTACTTGGCACTTTTACTGGATTAACTGCAGCAAGAATCCATTAAGAGCATCTTTATACAGTTAAATAACTAATAATAATAGTAACAATAATAATCATTATATAATTGCAACCTATGTATTTCATGACAGCATGAAAAGTCTTTAGTTCTGTAGTCTTGGCGTGCTGCGTCTGGCTGAAGGCGGTATTCTTTCCAATTCAGCCGTTCACTGCATTTGTAGTTATTATTAAAGTTCTCCATGAGAGTAGTGGGCTGCATGTACTGTGCATGGGTCTGACATTAGGTACATCCCCTGTTCCACCAGTCAAGAGTTTAGGACAGAATCAAACTGAGAGGTTTCCCTCTCTTCTCGGAACTCTTTCATCTCACACTCATCGCTCTTTACTATTTCATCAGTTCTCAGTTTCACAGCCTTCAGTTTCTCACAAAGAGTGTGTGTGTGTGTGATGCATGTGCAGGATTTTATGTGTACAAATCAGATGAGTTATAGATAGAGTTCACACGTTGAATATAGCTGGCATAGGGCTCCACTTCCTCCACATCCTCTATCTGTAAAAAACAGAGGTGTCGTGAACAAAGCTTAACAGTGTGCAGTTAAACACACAGAACTGTAAGCTGCAGAGTTACAGAAAGATTACTTACCGGTGGAGACTTGGATGGTGATGAGGTGTCGTCGGACTGCTGGCATTGCCTGGCAAAAGGTTGATACAAAAACCAGCTCAGTGACTCAGCAAAAAAAACAACTGCAAGTAGTCACTGTAATATATTTTTCATCAAATGACTATTCGTACCTTAACATTATTATTTTCTTTTGTGCAAAAAATAATACTCCTGCCAAAAACACAATGATCACCACAACGATAAGGACACAGAGCCATAGAACATACCCTGCAGAAAGAACGAAGATGAAAGGTTTGTTAATAATCTGCTGGACATCAATTACCATTATAATATAAAACCCCTGATAAAAAAAACCTACATTTACTTTACTTTTTTATATTTAAATCTATTGCTTCTGCACTAAACTAAACTCTATTGCTATCCACTCTGCAAAACCCGACCTTTTTGGAGCTCTGGTACCAAAATCTTTTCCCCTTTCCAGTATGGGTGCCTGATCACACAGCTCAGGTTAACTGTATCCATTCCTTCTGGAAGCTCCAGAAGACTTTCTACTGTATAAAATCCACGTGAGTCATTCGATGTTTTCACAGTTGATGAGTTTCCCATGTGACTCCAGCTGATGTTGGCAGCAGGTATTCCACTTTCAGCTTTGCACACTGCCACCATCCTGTTGTCCTTGCGCTCTAACCAGGCTGATATACTGGGAGGAACTGAGCAAGGGAAGACAAACCAGGAGAAATTAACTACTTACTTTTACTTGCACTTACACCTAATAGTACCTAACCATGCAGATTAAGTAGGTTAAATTGGCTTGCCTAAGCTCAACTATTTCTTACATTAAGTATAAACCTGTCCCAGATGAAAGCTGTGGACAGTAAGGTTGGTGTATTATCCAGAGTAACAGAGTCATTGTGTCAAGAACAGAAATTGCATTCCATTATCCCCCATTGTGTAGTGATGTAATAGATATTTTAAATCTAGGCAAGCAAACAACTAGCAAAAAATAAACTATCTGCAGTAACAAATGTCATTAGAGGTAAGCAGATTTTGCTGTTTATTCAGTTTTGTGAGTGTGATTTGGGTGAACTGACCCTTTAAGAAGTGAACCTTATTAATGGTTTTTGAAATAATCTGTCCTTATGAGGAGAAAGGTCCTACCTGTTATAGCCACGTGGATCTTATAATTTTCATTTGCTCCTCTGTAAACTGACTCACACTTGTAGACCCCCACATCATAATCTGAGAAGTTTGGGATGTGCAGGTATGACTGAGCACTGGATGTGTTTCGAAGTGACTTTCCATCTTTACAGGAGTCATCGCTTCGGCCTTCAGTGTCAAAGGCTATCTTACATTCTTTTGGATTGTATTTCATGTCTATTGTCCAGATGACATACATCATCTCATTCCATGTTTTATTGCTGCATGTCAGGTTAACATCACTCCCCACATTGAAAGCTTCATTTCTGACAACTGAAAAAAAGAAAAGTTGCTTTATTTTTGGACGTAGTGGTGCAATGATTGTGCTGATCAAATGGTTTGATAAGACAATATCCACAGTACACATGCCCTAATATACACAAAAAGCTTCATAAAGATTAAATTCTGTATGGCAAAAGGCCATGCAAAGACAAAATCAAAAAGAATGAAAATATCAAACTATAAATCGCATGTAACACAGACAAAATATAAAGATAACTTTAAATATGAAGCATGACACAGGAATAAACACACAGTTATAAAATAAATCATATATATACTTTTTGACTATAAATATATCCCCATACAGAAATATGTTGCAGAAAATTTGTCCCATGAGGAAACCTATTTATCATTTATTTTTGGATTAAACATAGCTCAGTCTAAAATTAAAATATTTCAGATTCATTTAAAATAATCTCAAACCCAATAAACTATGATCTTTAAGAACAATTATGCAAGGCTAAGATCTACTAAATAAAATTTGCTTTTGCAATATTTTTTTCAAATTGGCAAACATTTGGTATAGTGTCTTAATGTTTCATAATTACACTCCAAAATAAAAAAATAATGACTAAATCTCTCTTCTTGAAAATATCTTGATTTCATTGAAATTAGTTTACCATAAAGTTTAGGAGAAGAAGATGTGTCGGAGTTCGCAGAGATGGTTTGATTAGTTCCTAAGAGAGATGGAGGTGGATGTAAGGGAAAAGTTAGTAAGCCAGTCAGATCTTCTTCCGTCAGAAAGCAGCAGTTAGTGATTCATCATCAAGTGTTCAATTAGCAGAGCAACAATCAAGGTGATTTATCTGTCATTCGTTATTTTGTTTAGTTAGTTAAGTTAGTTAGATGTGGTGTGTTTAAAAGTAGGTTCTACAATTAAAAGTGGCCTGACATGACCAGCTGCAGCAGGGCTAAATCACAGAAAATGCATTATTTGGTGAAGAAAATAGTTTGAGTTTTTGTAAGCCAGCAACTAAAACATTGGTCTGGATTAAGGAAATCAGTGACAGCAAAACCTAAATATATAAAACAAGCAAATGTTATTGGCATAATCTCCCCCATTTACTTGTCTACACTGTAGAAGAAGCTCATGACATTATTGCTATTTCAAAGAAATGAATTGGAAAATTCACAGTTCATTGGGCATTTTCACAGCAGTGTGATGGGGGTCTGAGACTTGTTTACTTCTGACACAGGTATAAGCAAAACACAATGTGTGAACTGGGGTAGCGAAACCACAGACTTCAAACAGAAGGTTCCCTTTCAGAGACCCCAAAGAGGAAAAAAATCAGCATCATAGTGTTCCTCTGATCTGAAATCATGATTTCCACTTCAGCTACCTGTTCATTCAGAAAATATGGGCCGGGCTTTTCACACATCTGTTATGGAACAAGTTTCTCCTGTGTCAGCTTCTGCATTACCCCACCTCCATGCATGTTCTTTCCACTGACAGTCTGTGAGTCACATCACGATTACTTTACAGAAATCTCAGAGTGGCTAACCACTCACATTTACAGTTTACTACGTATCTGAATATCTGAACAATAGTGTTAGTAGTACTAACAGTACAGTGCACGCTACTGGCAATACACTCACACAACATACTGTATTTACATAGTATAAAATACCACAACTTATATTATAAAAATCTCTCTATGAAGACAACTCCTTACGAGGTCACCTTTGTGGAGGTTTTGTACATCTCAAAAAATAAAAATAAAGGTTCATATCATATCATATAAAAGCTGTATCTTACCAACATTAAAAACATTAAGTACTACCACATGCGAGTAAAATGTGTTAATGTTCAAACCTGAAACATGGCATGCCTTAGGCAACAAGAGGATAATCGCAGCATATATCCACGGCATGTCCCTCATCTCCAGTTGTCTTCAGGTTCCTCTGTAAATTGGCTACCACAATGCCTCTCGAACCGGTAAGAAAAACATCAAGTCTAGTCTTTACCTAATCCTCAGTTCTGAATGCTGTCTACAGTAACATCAAACTGAGTTTTGCCTGGCCTATCATGTCAGTTACCCTAGTTTAGCAATTTTACTTTCTCTATTTATGCCCAGTACGTTCAGGGTTGGAGTAAAGCAGGTTCTCTACCCCATCCAGACAAACCAAAAATCCCTTATGCTCCCCGTGATAAAGAAATATAAAAAGACATGTGACCAATAAATACCTCCCTTCTTCTTTCTCTTCTCCCTCTCCAAATCGCTTTCCACTCAAACTGCCTGCCTCTTTCTCCTACACAGGATGACGTCTGATAAGTCAAGACACCAGTTTCCTTTCTTGCTAGTCACATGAACACCCTATTTCAAAGCAGCGTGCATTAACACTCACAGCTATACCACATTATAAAGTCACATTAGACACATATGGCTTTGTATTATAGCATTTATAAAATCCAACATGGTCAGGAGGACAACAGGTTGGGTAAAGTATGCGAATAAGGAGAAGTTGAGAATGAACCACATTTTGTTCTGTATTGCCCTTATTCTGATAAGCTAAGACTATCTATAATAAATTAAATGTCTGTTTAAAACCCATAAACGTTTTGGTGCACTGCGATGATAGAATGGAATGGATGTTTAATTGTAATGCTTATAAGCTGGCAAACTTTATTTCTAAAGCTTTATTTGATTAGTATTATTTGTAATTTATGTTGCTACTCTGGTTTCTGGTTGTCTTTTTCTAAATAATGGTGTCTTGTAAGCCTGTTTGGGCTTACACGATAATAATAATAATCATCAATCACATAGGTTTGATAAGATGGCTGTACACTATAAGACTGCCAAGCTAAAACTAATAATTTAATCCTGTTGTCTTTAAGGTTATAATGTTTTAGTTCATGTTTTTTCAAGTTTTGTGAGACAGAGGTGTTGATTCTTCATGGATGGAGGCTGTAGTTTGTGATGCTGTTGGACTGTATATAAATGGTTTGGACAAAATATCAGAAACACCTTTCTAACAGCAGAACAAACTATACAGCCTCAAAAACAACCATACAGTTGAATTAACACCTCTCTAAAACAATTTTATCAAAACATTCTAACCATAGTAGTAGTAGTTTTCTTCAAAACTGGTGTCATAGGTTTCAGAAGAAATGCTGAGTTAAGGGAAATTTGATAAAAGTCATTGTTTGGGATCTCAAATCTGCTGGTGTAAGAACATCTTGATGTTAAAGGGTTACCCAATGCAGTGTTGCTTACATGCGCAATTTATGAAGCATTAATGTGTGTGCAGGCGTTATTATTGACTCCATCCTCAGTTTGCAGATCAGAGATTAACTGACACACTGCATTTGGTAGTTATTGCGGGTGTATGTGGTTATGATCTGCAAGCGCTACGGGGAGTTTGTGGTTCACGAGTACATCTTGCAATGAGACATTGTGATATTAACTGTCCCATATATGATGAGATAGGGCGGATGAACCATAGAAACTCAGCTTTTCCTTTTCTTGTCTGCACTCTCACCCTGCCTGCGTGTGCCACAGAAAAACTATGAAAAACTAACATATTGTAAACAGTCTTCTGGTTATATAAATCAAACCACGATTAGAACACCCTGACTTATTTGCATGTCATCATAATATCTACAGATGGTGGTTTCAGGCTGTCAAAAACAGTAGCACTAATGTGAGGAAGTATATTTGCAGAAATCTAGGCTTTAACCAGCTACGAGGCTGTTCTCCTTTTTCTGAGATCTAATATTAGACAGTGTTTATTTAACCTATAGGCAGCAGCAGTTCAGCTGACTGTGAGCTGGCACACTTGACACTAAAACCAGCCTATCCAGAATTGCAAAACCTTCCAGCTGTAGAGTAATGCTGCTTTGGTCAGCTGTGTTCTTCAAATACAAACAAACAAACCAAACAAAACCTGACATGCAGCAACACATTTCAAAGAAAACTCAGACTTAGAAGAGGAGAATACTCTCAGTGCCTCATCTGTGTGTGTCTTTATATGTGTGCTCTGTTTCCTTTTGATAACACAGACTTCCTGTTAGTGTCAAAATCAACCTTTTTGGCTACCCAAAATTATGCTCTGAAGGGTAAAGAAAAAAATGAGACGTATGAAGTGAAACGATATGTCTAATGAGAATAAATGACTATTTGCATTAGTACCTAGTGGAACAATGATTTTTTAGTTTTCCTCAAGAAAGAAGTGACCGAAATTTGTGAAATCAAATAAATACAATACTACAATTTTACTAAAATTATAATCAATGTATTACTACTGTAATAAAAGTATGATTTATTTTCACATAAACAAAGAAGCACATTATTCTGTCCTCTGGTCTAAGTGCACACATATGTTGGCCTCTTAGCCTTTCAGAATGTGTAAGCTACTGTAGGCCAACTAAAATGTTGTGACTCTGCAAGAAAATGTCAATTAAAGTTAGATGTACAAATATAACATGTAACACATTTCTGACATTTTATTTTATTGCACTAGGGTTATAATTACATTATAATAACATAATAATATATTTCATCCCTAAAAAAAGAAACGGGAGTTACGAATGGGGAGGATCGATCCATGGGAGGAAGTAGGGGAGATTGCGTATGGTTGTAACACGGGGAGAGTTGTAACAACACTAGGGCTGAAAAGATTCATCGATTAAATCAATTAATTTGCTTACTAAATAGCACTGACGCAAATTCTTTGCACCGATGCTTCATTTAATCCACATAACTATATAGCACACTGTTTTGCACAGAAACATTTAAGCATTTATTACTGTTGCACTTTGCATTTACGCTGTGTGAACATGACGTGATTATGATGCTGTTGTTTGCAAAGTGGAGGAAGAGAGAGAAAATAGCTAGGGACGAAGAAGAAAATGTCCAAAGTATGGGATTATTTCAAGCTGAAAGAAAACAACAACTCTGTAATGTTACAGTCTGTCCACCATAATGATGCCTACCGCAACAACAGCATCTGATCAGAAAGCACCCACTCATCATCTATCATCGCCAGTGCCAAATAAAAGTACTTCTTAAATGATGCATCAATGAAATAATCTGTAGAAGCTTCGAGTACTAAAATCATCGTTAGTTGCAGCCCACACCAATTCCACCTATTAGAGATAAGATAGGAGTCATGTGATAATTTCAGAATTTTCCTACTTCCTCCACGATCAGGCATGGTGGTTGTCAAGGTTGGAAACAGTTACATTCAGAATATATAGAGAAAAAACTGATTTTGAGGTAAGAAAGTAATTTTTTGACCAAGACTACATTTTGTTTAGTACCTATACTATTGCAGATAAACTGTTTAAGTTAGATTAAAATGTAACATTAGTTTCTTAGGCAACATATGATGCATTTTTACCCTGATAATTTCAAACGACTATGCTAATACAGCTAGCTAAACAATGCCAGACAGGAGTGTGGTGGGTTGTAAAAACCATCCCCTAGAAGAATCAGAATCAGAATCAGAATCAGAAGGAGCTTTATTGCCAAGTAGTGTTTTACACATACAAGGAATTTGCTGTGGTGATAAGGTGCTACACATGGACAAATATACAGTTGACATAAATAAATGTGGAAATATATAAAAATGGAATGGAAGAACGTTGCATTATTCTGGGTCTGTGCCTAGTGCCTTATACAGTCTCAGGGCCCACCAAGCCTGCTCTGTCAGCTCTGTGACCAGTGCTTCCCATTCGCATGTAGTTCAAATGTTGGTGTATATACTGGCACCCAATCTTTTCCCTACTCAGTCTCCACCGATTTAGAGGGCTGAAATGAGCACCAGGGTGGCGCCGCCATGTCGAGTTTTTTCAACCAGGAAGTGCCCGGAAGTGACGATACGGTGGAGCTAATGGCCATGTGTGAAGCTAGCTAGCTTGCTTAGCTAAGTGCAACTGTAACTCACGTTAACTGTCATTTTAACTGGGCTGATAACTTTGTCTAGCGAACACCAGTCTTAAAACTAAATATACTCACCATAAAAGTGAACAGCAAACTCCTAATAAGATTTTTCTGCGGCGCTGGTTAAATTTACACAGCGCCGAGGGTAAGAGTCAGCTCTAGCCTGATTGACAAGTCGCTATGTTAATGACTTGTCAATCATAGATAATCCCACCCTGAAACATACTCTGCTTTGTGGTCTATTTTAAAATAAATGGGACCATAATTTACTAAATGAACATCCCTTTGTATTGAAGAAGACTTGAAATTAGTGACTGAGACCATAAACTCATCAGGAAAGTGTTGACTGGGGTAATTATTCAGCTGAGAAGTAGAGTCATTTTCCCATTATTTCTAATGGAGCCGGACTTCTCTTTGCAACCAGAAGAGTCTCCCCCTGCTGGATTTTCAATAGAATGCAGGTTTCAGGGACTTCCGCATTGGCTTCATATTGTAGACCGGAAGCTTCACGCTTGGTTTGAACATAGACAGGTTTGAGGCATATCAGTGTGGCAACCTAACGGTGTGGTAACAAAAGAACACCATGGATTTGACATCAACTCACATGGTCTGTGATATTTTTGTATAGGACTAAATTGATGCCATTTGTAGTAAACAAATGTAGGTACTTTGTATAAAAGTTTGTGAACTCTAGCTAAAACATTCAGCGAGTTACAGTTGCTGAAGCAAAAAGTGTTACAACCATACCTGGTCTCCCCTATATTTTCCTCACTGTTATTCTCAGTTGAAAGTCATCTTTTTTCTAACATAAATCGCGGGAGGCTCGTAGATAATATAACGCGGGTATATGTTTAGGTTCTAACCATTTGTTTTAATAATCTCCTCTTCCGGTCTGAGAAATAAACGTTTTCGTCAGCTTAGTACGGAGAATGGGCTTTAAAAACTACAGTTCCCATGAGCCTATGGAGAAGAAGGTAGAAGCAGAAACCTGTTGCAAACGGACGCTTTAATACAGAACACGTAAATGCAGAAATTCATACATTTACGTTGAAGCAGGAAGTGGGTTGATTTATCCCAACCGATGTGTGTCATTACCAATCTACAAAACGTAATTTTAAGCCTCTGCTCGCCGTTAGCGACTGAATTATAAGTTCAGTGACTGGATGGGTCTTACCGAAGTGGTGCTTGGGAGTCGTAATTGACTTCTCCCATTGCGTTGTTCGGTAAATGCGTATAATTTTGACTCTTTATCAAAGAACCACGTATTTTCCAAAATTTGTAGGGTGCCGTTACG